ACGGCCGCGGCGGCCCGGTCCGCGGCGTCGAGGGCCGCGTTGGCGACGTCGTAGCTCGCGCCGGCGACGACGGCCGGCGCGTCGTCGGACCTTTCGCTCGCGGCCTCGAAGGTGCCGCCCTCGGGCCGCGGGACCGCCGTCTGTTGCGCCGACGGCGGTACGGGCGCCGCCGCCGCGGCGACGGCGGCGCCCAGGGCGCGATCCGCGGCCTCGAGGCGCGCCGCCGCCGCCTCGAGGCGCGCGTCCGCGGCGCCGGCGCCGCGCGACGCCGCGTCCACTGACGGCCGCGCGGGCGCCGGCGGCCGCGCGGGCGCCGGCGGCGGCATGGGCGCCGGCGTTGACGCGGACACCTCCGGCGCGGCCCGGCCCTGCGGCGCCCCCGGCTCGGGAAAGCCCGAAGGCGGGGCCCTCGCGCCGTGCGGCCGCTTGAAGTCGGCGGTCGAGCTCTCGTAAAAGTTGTTCTGCAGGCCGGGGCTTTGCATGCGCCGATCGTCGTCGATGGGCGACCTTTCGCCCGTGGCCTCGCTCAACCACCGGTCCGCGGCGTCGAGGCCGGTCCATTGCGCCGACGGCGGTGCGGGCGCCGGCGGCGCGGCGCGGCCCTGCGGCGCCCCCGGCGGCGCGCCCCCCGCGCCGTGCGGCCGCCTGAAGTCGGCGGTCGAGGTCTCGTAGAAGTTGTTCTGCAGGCCGGGGCTTTTCATGCGCCGGTCGTCGTCGATGCGCGGCTTATCTCCCTGCTTCCAATCCGCGCCGTACTGGTCGACCGGACGGGGACCGGACCGCGCGCGCGCGCGCGCCGCTTCCGCCGGCGTCGACGCGGCCGGCGTCCTCGGACTCGGCGTCGACGCGGCCGGCGTCCTCGGACTCGGCGTCGGCGCGGGCGGCGTCCTTCCGAAACGCCCGGTCCGCGGCCCGGTCGGCGGCGGCGGCGGCGCGGCCGCGGGCGGCTGGCGGACGGCCGCGGGCGGCTGGCGGGGGGCGGCGGCGGAGGCGGCGCGGCGGGCGGCCCACTCGGAGGCCCCCGCGTCGGCGGAGCCGCCCAGTCCGGCCGCGCCCAACCCGGCGGCGCCCAACCCGGCGGCGGGCGTCGCGCCGTACGGCCGCTGCGGAGGCCGGTCCGCGGGGGACGCGTGGTACGCGCCCGCCGCGCCGGAGCGCGGCGCCGCGACCGGCGGCGAGTAGGCGTTGGCCTGCTCCGCGAGCTTCTGGAGCGCGATGTCGTTGAGCCGCCCCGGGGCCGACCGACCCCACTTGACCGACGAGTCGACGGGCGCCGCGCGCCGCGGCGACGGCGCGATGGGGATCTCCTGAGCGACCGCCGCCGGCTTTTGTCGGCGGAAGGGGTTGAGCGCGCCCAACAGGCTCTTGCTCTTCTTCGGCGGCGCGAGGGGGTTTGGGCGCTGGGCGGGGTCCCAGCTGCCGTAGTCGATGCCCGGCGACGGGCGGCCCACGCGGAGCGCGACGGCGGGGCGGTGTATGGGTACCGGTGGTATGTAGGCGAAGGCTATTTGCCAAGCAAGAATGACGAACGACGTCGCGCCCATTGCGGGCTTGAACATGGCAACAGCCTTCCCCGTGAACTTCACAAGTGCTTCAAGATCACTTCAGCTTAGGCGCGCCCGTTGCTGCAGCTCCCCTCGAAACATCTGCCAGGCCTCCAGGGCTCTCACTCGCCCGCGGCCGCGATGGTTGAGCCTCTGGGGAGGCCTCCGGGGACGGGAGGGGTACCGCGCGGGCGTGCACCCGAAAACAGGTCGCCATGTGCGGCCACCCACCGTGGCAATAGTGGCCTCTGCCCACTCACGATGGCGGGTCGCGTCGTCAGCGTGCACTGCATCGGCGGCGGCGGCCTCGAGGCGAAGACGCTGAAGCTGACGCTGCCCGCGGCCTGGCAGGAGTCGCCGTGCGCGCGGCTGCTCAAGGCCGTGGCGAAGCGCTGCGAGGGCGTCGACGCGGGCGACCTCGCGCTCGAGACGGCCGACGGCGCCCGCGTCGACGCGGCGGCGCCCATCGCGTCGACGGCGGCGGAGCGCGACCTCTTCGTGCGCCGCGCGGCCGCGGCGCCGAAGCCCGCCGCGCGGCGGCGGCTGTCGGCGCCGGCCGCCGCGGCGCCCGCCGCCGCGGCGCCCGCGGCGCCGCCCGCGCCGGGCCCGGCCGTGCCCTGCGAGGGCGCGCCGCTCGCCAACGTCTTCGTCGTGACGCTCGCGCGCGACGACGCGCGCGTGCGGCACACGGAGACCTACACGCGCCGGAGGCTGCCCGAGGCGGAGGTCTTCGACGCCGTGGACGGCGCGAGCCCCGCGCTCGCGGCCTTCCTCCGCGCCCGGGCCGTCACCCTGGCGCCCGCCTGGGCCAAGGCCTGCACCGTGGGCCAGCTCGGGTGCATGTGCAGCCACATGGCGCTCTGGCGGAAGGTCGTCGACGACGGCCTCGACCACGCGGTGGTCCTCGAGGACGACGTCCTCGTCGCCGACGGCTTCCGCACCGAGGTCGCGAACATCCTCGGCGAGCTCCCGGCCCTCTGGGACCACTGCTACCTCTTCCACCACCCGCAGTGCAAGCGGGACCTGCCGCTACCGGGCGCGAAACACGTGCAGCGGGCCTTCGAGACCTGGGGCACCGTCGCCTACGTCGTCTCGCGGCGCGGCGCGGAGAAGCTCCTCGCGAAAACGGAGGGCGCGTCCTGCGCCAAGGCCATCGACGAGACCATGATGGGCCTCGTCCGCGACGGCGAGCTGAACTCGTACTGCGCGCTGCGCACGCTCACGGGCACCGCGGGCCAGATCAACCCCATGCAGCCGACGGCGGACTCGCGCCTCGGGTCCAACGTCTGGGGGTCGCCGAAGCTCCTCCCGTCCTAGTACTTTTGAGCAGTAGGCAGGCCCGCGCGGACCCGGTAGCCGTCGCGCTCCTTGGCGCCGCGCGACACGACGTAGTAGCCGTCCTTCGGCTCGGCGGCGGGCGCGGGATTCCTCGACTTCTTCGTCGCGATGGTGCCGGCGGCCGTTTCCTCCGGCTTGGAAGCTTTCGGGGGATTCGGCTTCGTCGCCTCCGCGGGCGGCGACGCTTCGGGCGCCGACGCTGACGCGGGCGCCGGCGGCGGTATGGGCGGCGGCGTTGACGCGGGCGGCGCCGTCGACACGGGCGGTGACGTCGACGCGGGCGCCGGCGGCGCCGCCGGGCCCTGGGAAGCCGCGCCGAAGAGCTCGACCGAACTCGACTTTGCGCGCCGCTGCGCCAAGGTCATCTCATAGCTCTTCGCTTTGGACGCGAGCGACCCGAGGGAGAGCTCTTCGATCCGGCCCCGCGAAGGTTTCGTCGTCGAAGGACGCCCGGTCCGCGGCGGCGGCGGCGGCCGGCCCTCGGGAGACGCGTCGCGCGCGCTCGACGCTCCGGAGCGCGCCTGCGCGAGCGTTTCCGCGTAGTCGTTGGCCTTTGCCGTCAACTTTTCAAGAGCGAGCTCCGTCAGCCGCCCCGACTTCATCGTCGTCGCCTCGGGCCGCGGCGCGATCGGGCTCGCGTCTTCGACCTCTCGCGCCGCGGCCGGCTCCCGGCGGCGGCGGAAATTCTCAATACCTTGAGCGGAAAGGCGATGACGTGCTTGAGCACGCGCAGCTTCTTGTTCGGCGGCGGCGCGAGGGCGCTCGGGAGCTGTTGCGCGCGAAGCTTGGTCGTTCGACCGCTTGTGATGTCCAGTGTGGTCGCGAGCAGACGAGACGATGGGTTCACAAGGGCGTCGCACGTCGTGCATAGCGCTCCGAGAAGCGCGAGGAGTCGTACTCTCATCGGCAAATCTCAACACCTTCTCACACACCGGCACCTGCTTAGTGGCGCGGAGCACCTTCTGCCATTCTGTTTTTGATTTTTACCAAGTGAAAACGCTCGCCGATCGTCGAGACCCCTCGACGAGTAAAACCAGCCCCCCCCCGCCCTAGCCCGCGAGGCCCTGGAGGTCCGCGAGGTCGTCGTCGTCGTGCTTCGGGGGCGGGGGCTTGGGGATGGCGATGTAGCCGAGCTGGACGTGGACGGTCGTGAGGTCGCGGTACCGCTCCTCCGTCTGCTTCATGTAGGGCCCGTCGCGGTGCGCGCCGACGAGCGCCGCGGCGTCGACGGCGGTCTGGACCCAGAGGGGCTTGTTCGCGTCGGAGAGGAAGGCGTAGGCCTCCTCGTCGGGCATGCGCTCGTCGTTCCAGTGCTCGAGGCCGTGCTCGACGTCGAAGTGGACCGCGTCGAAGTGGGTCACCTGGGCAGCAAAAGAGTGATTCAATGTCGCTTCAACGTGAGTGTTCCGCACGCGCGCGTTCCGGAAAAAGCATCCACGCTTCGAGACCGTTCCGAGAGATGATCGCTCGTCCAAAAATCAGCCGAAACGAGTGGAAAACGGCCGAGATATGAGCCTTTGAAGTTGGGAATGTCGCACCCTTTTCCTGCCCTGTGGGTCACGAGGCTCGCGGCGGCGTCCAAAGCGTGGTTCACGCCCTGGCCCGCGGGCGCGGGCGACACGGCGGCGTCGCCGACGAAGGCGCAGTGGCCGCTGTAGAGCTTGGAGGCGACGAAGCCGCCGGACGCGTCGCTGAGGCACCGCGTCTCGAAGCTCTGCCGCTCCGCCTCCGTGCTCGCCGCTAACAGCTTCTTGGGCAGCTTGCTGTGGAGCAGGGACCGGTCGCTCTCGGACTTGCAGAGCGCGAAGGCGCTCGAGAGCGCGTCCGACGGCGCGTCGTTGACGGGGACGATGCCGACGCCGCGGCCCACCTTCCGGAGGTCCGCGTCGAAGAGCGGCGTCCGCGACACGACGGGGTTGTCCGGCGGCGGGCCGCCGACGCCGTAGAGCCAGCCCTCCTCGAGCACGTCCAGCTTCTCCGCGACGTCCAGGTTGAACGTCTTGTAGCGCACCTCGCCGACGCGGCCCTTCCGCGGCGTCACGAGGAGCCGCGTGTCGCGCTCCGCGAAGAAGGCCCGCGTCGGCGAGTTCTTGCCGTCGGCGCCCACGAGCAGGTCGTAGGGGATGGAGTAGCCGTCGCTGCAGGTCACGGTCTGGCGGTCCGTGTCGAATTCGACGACGGTCGTCTCGTGCTTGAGCGTCACGTCGCAGTCCTTGCGGCCCTTGAGGTAGTGCTCGAAGGCGAGGACGACGTCGTCGCGCGTGCCGATGAGGCCCGTGCGCCCGCCGGGGAGCGGCATCTTCCGCGCGATCCGCCCCGTCGCGCCGTCCATCGCCGCGTGGCCCCTGAAGACGTGGAGGAACCCGCGGCCCCGGAGCTCGGCCTCGTCGATCTCCAGCGCCTTCAGGGCCGCCATGCCGCGGGCCGTCACGTCCACCGGGTAGCTCCGGTCCCGGTCCACCGTGCCGATGTCCGCGGGGCTCGCGCGCTTCTCGATGACCGTGGCCTTGTGCCCGAAGTTCCCGAAGCCGATGGCCGTCGCGAGGCCCGCGGGGCCGCCGCCGATGACGACGACCCGCAAGGGCTCGGGCTGCGACACGGACGTGCAGCTCTGCCGGTCCGCCTTAAACCCCATGGCGCGGTCGGGGACGGCGCCGGCGGCCGCGCAGACGCGCTTGGACACGGGCTGCCCTGAGAATCGTGTTTGCGATATATCGTGCAAACGTCAAGAACCGTAAACATCAAAACACGATGGCAGCCCCTCGCAGCTGGGCGACGGATGCGGTCGACGTGCTCGCCTTCGAGGTCGTCGAGGTCGTCGACGTGGGCCGCGCCCGGCGGGGCCGGCTCCACTACTTCCTAACCGACCACACCGCCGCGGTCTCCACTTCACGCCGGCCGCCGGCGGTCTTCCGCCTCGGCGCCGGGCCCGGCGAGCGCCATCCGCTCCGGTTGCGGCCGCGGGACCTGGCCGTCGGCGCGTCGGTCCCCAGCGGCGGCGCCGACTGGGAGATCGTCGACGCCGAGCCCGCGTGCCGCCGCTACTACGAGCGATTCGGAGCGCCGCTCGGCGCGCGCGTCGACCGCGCCGGCGCCTACGACGACGACGGCGGCCCGGCGGCGCGGACCCTCGCGTTCTTCGGCGACGACGGCGCGGAGAAGTTCGAGCTCGCCTGCTTCCTCGACGACGGCACGGCGGAGGCGCGCCACGCGGGCGGCGCGGTCCGCGTCTCGCGGCGCGCGGCGCCCGGGCCGCGCGACGGCGCGCCCTTCGCCGCCGTCCTCGACGCGGCGCGCCGGGGCACGGTGCTGCGCGTCGGCGACCTCCGGCTGCGCCTGTCGTCCTGGGACGCGGCGACGGACGCGTGGTGGCGGTCCCTCGGCGCGGCGCCGCCGCCGGCGCGGCGCCGCGTCGCGTTCGCCGACGGCGGGTCGCCGCCCCTGCGGTTCCGCGCCACGCTCCGCGCCGGCGGCGCGACGGCGCGGGACGAGGGCCGCCCGCTCGTCGCGAGCTTCTTCCCGGACGACGCGAGCCTACGCGTCGACTTCGCGGACCGGCCCGAGGTGCTCCTGGAGCGGGACGCGTACCACGCGGCCGGCCGCGCGGACGCCGCCTGGCCGCCGCGGCCGCCGCCCGGCGCGCGGATCGCTTTGGGCGACCTCGCGCGCGGCGGCCGCGTGGACGTCGCGGTCTCGCGCGCGCTCGGCGGCGTCGCGGCGTCGCTGGACGTCGCGGGCCCCGCGGACGCGCGCGCCGCGGACGCGCTCGACGGGGCCGCGGACGCGCGCGCGCAGACGACGCTCGTCGACGGCGAGCCCGGCGACGCGCGCCGCGCGGCCGCCGACGCGGCGCGCGCCGCGGCGGCGCTCGTCCGCGACGGCGAAGCCGTCGCGGCCGGCGCGCTCGCGGCGCTCGCGCTCCGCCTCCGCGACGCGCGCGTCGCCGCGCGCGGCGAGCTCCGGAGCTTCCACCCGGACGCGGGCGGCCTGCTGCCGTCGAAGCGGTTCGTCGAATTTCTCAAGGCGCTCGAGACGACCGCGGCGGCGGCCGAGGCCGCGGCGCCGCCCAAGTTCTCGAAGACCGGCGCGCGGCCGCCGAAGGTCGCGGGCCTGACGAAGGCCCAGGCCGCGGCGCTCGCGGTCGCGTACCGCGCGGCGGGGTCGCGCCTCGACCCGAAGGTCGACGACGACTTCGCGGCGCGCGCGGACGACTTCCTCGACGCGCTCGCCCTCGTCGCCGTCGCGCCGCGCGCGCTCGGCGGCGGCCTCGGCGCCGTGGCTGCGGACGACGCCGACGGCGAGCGGCTCTGCCACGGCGTCCGCTGCGCCGCGGTCCGGCGAATCGCGCTCTCACACGGCGACCCGGCGGGCCTGCGCCTCGCCTGCCGCCTCCGCGACGTGTCGCGGCGCGGTTCGCTGGATGTTGAAACGGTCGTCGCCGTCTTCGCGGCGGCGAAGCTCCACGGCGCGGCGCCGCGCGGCGCGCTCGAGCGCCTCGCGCGGTCCTTCGGGGATCCCGCGGACTACGAAGGCCTCTGCGACGCGCTCTACCAGGCCGACTTCGCGGTGCTGCGTCCCCTCGTGGCGGCGCCGGCCGCGCCGGCGCCGCGGGCCGACCGGCCGCCGCCGGCGCCCGTCGGCGACGGCGCGCGCGCCGCGCAGCGCGGCTTCGCGACGGCCTTCGGCCGCGCGCACCGGCACCGCGCGCTGCGGAACCGGCTCCTCGGCGTCGCGGCCCACCTCCCCGGCGAACAACCGACGCTGTGCCGCGGCGCGTTCCTGTCCGCGACGAACCGCGTCGTCGACGAGGGCGAGATCAACGTCCGCCGCTCGGACCTCGCGCTCCTCGCCGACGCGCTCTTCGTCGGCGACGCGCCGCTCCCCGTCGAGGACGTCCTCGGCGCCGCCGTCGCCCTAGACGGCGGCGCGGCCCTCGCGGCGCTGCGCGCGCGCGCGCCGCCGCAAAAGTAAATCGGGGTGAAGTTTCCGCTCAACAACGGCGTCGTGTTTTATTGAGGTAGCCTGCCCGGCTCTCAGAAAGTCCGTGGGCGGCGGCGGCACTTGCATGCCCCCCCCCGTCGCTCCGGATGTGGTGCTTCTTCGGCCTCAGCATTTGTGGAGCAGCCCTGTTGAAGGGGTGGCCTCTGGGCATCGGAAACGAGGTGGAACGAGAGCCTAACGAGGGCCTCTCTGTCGCCATGGTCATCACAGCAGAAATGCAAAAGGTGAACGCCGTCGATCGCGCCGCGCCGAAAATTAACGCCCCGCGCGCGCGCGCAGGCCTGGGAGGCCCTGCCTCCCGAGCAGAAGGAGCCCATCAAGTTCCCCGAGGCGCCGCCGGGCGGCTGGGACCGCACGCGCGCCGGCGTCGCGTCGCCGCCGTACGCCCCGCTTACCCGCGACCCCCCCCGCGCCTTTAGGTTTCCCCTGGGCGCCGCCGCCCGAGCCGTTCCTGGATCCGAACGGCGAGACGGCGGACGACGACGACCGCGAGCGCCACTACTTCTACAACACGGGCCCCGACGGCCCGCTCATGCTCAAGTGCCAGGCGGCGCGGCTCTGCCTCGCCAAGGACTACCGCCTCTTCCAGACCCAGAGCTTCCGGTTCAAGAAGGACTTCTGGGACGACTGCGAGAACGACGGCACGGAGACGGTCGTCATGCTCTGGGACGACTGGAACGGCTACCGCGGCGAGGGCGTCATGGTCAAGAAGACGGCCGTGCTCTGCAAGGGCTGCGCGGACAAGTTCATGAAGATGCGCGAGGAGCGGCGCTGCCAGAACCCGAAGCGGCCCGACTGCCTCATGCTCGCGATCGAGTGCGAGGAGGGCATGAAGGAGTTCGGCGCCGCGCTGAAGACCTACGGCCCGCGGCTCTGCTTCCGCTGCGTGACGGAGTACGAGCCGCCCAAGTCCAAGTACCCCGTGTGCAACCCCAAAAAGAAGAACGACCCGGACTACCTCGAGCAGCGGAGCCAGCACAACTGGGGCACGAAGACCTACGCGCCCCTGCGGCCGCCGGAGGGGCCGGACACGGACGACGAGGAGGAGATGAAGAAGCCCATCCCCATCGCCGGCCCGGGCTCCGTGCTGGGCGGCGAGACGCACATCCGCATCTCGGGCGACAAGTACGACCCGCGGCTCACGGGCGACATGCTCTAGGCTCGCGGCGGCGCCGGGTTTGGCGCCGTAAGGAGAAGTGTTACCCGCAGGCGGCCTCCTCGTAGAGGACGAGGCGGTCCGGGTTCAGGACCGCGAGGCCGCCGACGACCGCGGCCGCGGACGCCGCGGCGAGCGACGCCGCGGCGGGGTCGGCCTGCTCGTAGAGGACGTAGACGGCGTCGCAGTGTTCGCCGCCGACGACGGCGAGCGACGAGTAGCCCGCGGTGCCCGCGTCGACGACGCCGCGGACGTCCCAGGTGTCGCCCTCGTCGCGCGACGCCCAGAGCGTCAGGTGGTCGCGGCCCGTGAGGTTGACGCCGCCGCCGAGGCCCCGGAGCGCCCGGGGCAGCGCGGCGTCGTTGGGAAGAGGGTCCGGGTGGGAAAAGTAGAGCGCGCGCGGCGACCGCGCGAGCGAGCCCTGGCACCCGTTGAACGGCTCCGGGAGGGCGTCGACGAAGGACGACGGCGTCCAGGTCAGCCCCCGGTCGTCGGACCGCGCGGCGAGGCGCGCCTGGCGCGACCCCGTGCTCAGGGACCGCGAGTTCGCCAGGAGGGAGCCGTTGCGGAGCTGGACCAGCTGCATCTCGTTGGCGCCGTGGGACCCGCCCGCGGCGCCGCCGCCGAAGCCGCGTCGCGACGCGAGCGCCCACGAGTCGCCGCCGTCGTCCGAGTAGACGACGTGGCCCAGGGCCAGGTTGTTGTAGAGCTGGGACACGGGCAGGTCGACGCCCGCGCCCGCGCCGCCGCCGCCGTCGAGGCCCCGGATGTAGGCGTGGTAGCCCGGCGCGATCAAACGGCCGTCGTCGAGCTCCAAGGCGCCCGGCGGGCCGAGGCCCAGGAACTGCCAGGGGCCCGCGAGCTTCGATCCCCATTCCCGGTAGGGGTCGCCGTCGCCCCGGGCGATGGCCTCGACCCAGGCGGCGACGCTCGCCGTCGTGTTGACGCCAAAGTAGGCCATGGTCCGGTTGCAGTCCGGGCCCGCCGCGTCCGTATCCGCGAGGCCGGGCAGAGCGCGGGGCGCGCTCCAGGTGCGGCCGTCGTCGTCGCTGTGGACGGACCAGACGGCGAAGTTGTCGCGCGTGTGCGGCACGAGGACGCGGCCCGCGCGCGGCCCCTTGGTCGCCTGCACCGGCGCGGCGTTGCCGACGACGACCTCGTGGCCGCAGAGGCCCCGCGTCCCCGGCGCCGCGGGCGCGACGACCTGCGCGGCCGACCAGGTTTTTCCGCCGTCCTCGGACCGCTTCGCGACGAGGTCCGTCCGCGAGAAGTCGCCGCAGTCGGGCCATCGCGCCTCCGCGAACGCGAGGAACGCGCCCGACGCCAAACGGAGCAGACTCGGGATCTTCGTGCACGCGTAGCCGTCGCCGCCGCTCACGAAGGGGACGCTGAGCACGTTGTCGTTCGCCGCCCAGCCCGTCCACGCGAGGCGCCCGCTCGCGGCGCCGCAGAAGGGCGTCTTCGTTTCCGACGAAAAGCGCGCGCCCCAGACGCGCGTCGCCGCGGGCGCGGACGCGCGCTGCGCCCGCGCCATGCCGTCGCAGCGCCAGCGGAGCTCCGTCGTCGCCGCGTCCAGGGCGACGAAGGCCGTCGCCGGGCCGACGGCGAGCGTGAGCTGTTCATCGCCGGCCCAGATGGTCACGTTGGCCAGGCCCGTGCGGCAGTCGCACCAGTCGTAGGAACTCCAGGCCCGGCCGTGGCCCGCCGGCGGGAGGGTCGTAGGCGTGAGCTCGCGCCCATTCACCAGCAACGTTGTTGCCAGGGCGAGGAGCGGGCACCGAGGGCTGACCATCGTGCCCTGATGGGCTGCAACAAGGGGCAAAGGTAAGAAGTGCCGCCGGCGCCATCTCGGAGCCCAATCAGCAGAGGCCGAGCACAGTCTCCGACCGCCGCGTCATCGCACCAGCCGAGTATTCTCGTCGCCCGCGCACACCCAACTATTCTGTTAGAGTCGACCCGTCGGCAACACACCGCAACACCGCGCCGCCACACACAGCAAATCACAGCTCCACTGCCATGGGCATGTTCACCCAGTTCATCACGAGCACCCAGTTCTACCTCTTCGGGCGCAGCCACTTCACGGCCACGGGCTGGGCGAAGCACGCCAAGGCCTACGTCGCCAACGAGCTGGAGCAGGCGACGCTCACGGGCAAGGTCTACGCCGTCACGGGCGCCAACTCCGGCGTCGGCCGCGAGGCCGCGCGGTTCCTGGCGTCGCGCGGCGCGACGGTCTACATGCTCTGCCGGAGCGAGGCGCGCGCCGCCAAGGCGCGGGCGGAGATGCTCGCGGAGCTGGCGGACGCCGGCGGGTTGCCCGGGTCCCTCGAGATCCTCGTCGGCGACGTGTCGCTCGCGGCGTCCGTGAAGGACCTCGCGGCCGCGCTTTCCGAGAAGGCGCCGCGCCTCGACGCGCTCGTCTGCAACGCGGGCGTGCTCCTCAACGAGAAGACGATGACGCCCGAGGGCGTCGAGACGACCTTCGCGTCCCACCTCTGCTTCGGTTCCTACCTGCTCACGCGCGAGCTCCTGCCGCTGCTGAAGCGGAGCGAGGGCCGCGTGGTCTACGTCACGTCCGGCGGCATGTACAACAGCAAGTTCCCCGGCGTCGACGCCTGCGTCGACCCGGACGCCAAGGCCTACGACGGCCAGTTCGCCTACGTCTACGCGAAGCGCGGCCAGGTCCTCCTCGCGGAGCACTTCGCGAAAGCGGAGCCCGCGGTGCCCGTCGTGACGTCGCACCCGGGCTGGACGGACACGCCGGCCGTGGACCTGGCCTACGGGTCCCAGAAGTCCTACCTCGAGCCCATGCGCTCCACGTGGCAGGGCGCCGAGGGCATGTGCTGGCTCTGCGCCGTCGACCGAGCGCGCCTCGAGCCCGGCGCGCTCTACCTCGACCGCAAGCCCCAGCGCAAGCACCTCGCGGGGCCCTTCTTCACCGACGGCTCGGCGACGAAGAACAGCGACGACGAGGTCAAGCGCATGGTCGCGGACCTCGACAAGCTCGCCGAGGACACGCTCGCCGCGACGCCCGTCGTCGGCTAGGGGGGGTAACATCGAGCGTCGGCGAGCGTCAAGCGGGGACCGCAGCATTACACAACTGGGGTCCCCGTCCCGCGGCGGCGATGGACGCGCCGGGGGCTCTTCTACTTCTTCTTCGCGAACAGCTTTTTGAAAAACGCCATCGGCCCGCCGAGCACCTTGCGGAGTTGCCGGAAAAACGCGCGCACGGGGTGCTCCTTGCGCTCGACGACCTCGCCCGCCTCCGCGGGCTCCGCCTCGGCGACCTCCTCCGCGGCGGCCGCGGGCTCCGCGGCGGCCTCGGGCTCCTCGACGGCGTCCTCGACGGCCGCGGCCTCCTCGACGACCGCTTCCTCCTCATCCTCGGCGAACTCCCAGCCGTTGGGCACGAGGAGCTCGCCGTGGCCGTCCGTGAAGATCTTGATGGATTTCTTCGCCGGCGGCGCCGGCCGTTGACCCTGGTGGCCCGTCCACCCGTCGGGCCGCGCCTTCGGCGCCCACCAGTAGACCGTCTGCGTGTCCGGCGCCTCGCCCTTCTCGACCTTGGACACGGCGAACTGGCCGATGGACACGCTGTCGACGTGGCCCTCGCGGCGGCTGACGTCCTCGGCCGTCGCCGACGTGATCTTGCCGACGAGGATCAGCTCCGCCGTCGACTCGCGCGCGTCCGCGGGAAGGTCCGGCACCGCGGCATTGGCGACGACCAGCGCCGCCAGCGCGGCCACGACGCGGCGCGCCATGCGGGAACGGCGGCACAAAGCTGCCTCTTGGCTTGCACACTGCGGCCAAAAGCTCGTTTGGGAATAATATTGTTGCAGGATTTAGAGAGTCCGCTCACAGGATTTCAGCGGAGTTGAAGCGCTCGCAGGATTTCAGGCGACGCGTGGGCGCGCCACAGCCCAGCGCCTCTCCCACGCCCAAGTCTTTGACGCTCTAGACGCTCTACGCTATGTTGCACGCGCGCCCCTAGCCGCGCGGCCCACAACGATCTCCGCTGCTGCGCTAGCGACGCACGCGAAGGCGGGAGGGGTTGGCGGGCTGCATCGCGTCCGAGGAGAGGGGCGCGGGGGGCAGCGAGGGGCTGCCCTGGTCCCTGCCCAACCCACCGGCCCATGTGTCGGGCCCGCGCAGCGGCAGAGATCGTTTGCGACCATCCCTCGTCGCTCAAGGGCCACGGCAGTCACGCCGAGTCCCAGCCCGGCACTCTCATCCGCGCGACGGACGTGCGCGCGCCTTCGGCGCGAGCGCGCACGTCCGTCGCGCCGCGGTCTCGAGTTCACCGCCTGCACGGCCAGCGCCGTCGCACCCCGCGCCGCGCGACGCACGTCGAGGCGACGCCATGCCCCCGAGCCGCGCGGCAGCCCGCCGGACCCCTCGTCCATCAGCTTCACCAAGGCCGGGCAGCCCTCGCTCGCCGCGACGAGGCCATGGAGCTGGCGCTCTGAAGCCGCCCCAGGGAGCCCCTACTCGCGCCGGGTCGGCCCCGCGCCGCCCGGGGGCCCAGGGCCGGCTGGGGGCGCCCCCTCGGGGGGGCGACGTGGAGCGTCGTCAAAGACTTGGGCGTGGGAGAGGCACTGGGCTGTGGCGCGCCCACGCGTCGCCTGAAATCCTGCGAGCGCTTCAACTCCGCTGAAATCCTGTGAGCGGACTCTCTAAATCCTGCAACAATATTATTCCAGCTCGTTTGGATCGTGCTGCATCATCCCTGCATCGACTGGATGCAGGGTGCAAGGCCGCCTTCGTTACAGAGTGGGCTGCCCGCCCGCGTCGGTTTGCGATGGCCGCGGCCTGAAAACGACGGACCATGGTGAAGGCGCACCCGGACGGGACGATCGTCGTCGAGTCCACGGGGAACCTCTGCGACTTCTTCCTGCTGCGGCCCAAGGAGCTCAGCGCCGAGGAGGCGTTGGAGCTCGCGAAGCGCAAGGAGCTGGCCAAGTACGGCCAGAAGCGGCGGCCCAGCGACGCCCCGGAGGAGGACAAGGTGACGATCGAATCCATCGACGCGAAGCCGCTCTACCGCACGCACCGCGCGGCGCCGCCGGACGTCGTCGAGGGGCCGAGCTTGGTGATCGTCACGCACGGCGACGAGACGCGGCTGACCGTCACGTCCAACGGCTGCGACGAGTACTACGGCGTGCGCCTGAGCGAAAAGCCCGAGGCCACGGTGCGCGTGACCGTGTCCGCGCGGTCGCCGCTCGTCGAGGTGCGGCCCTGCGAGTTCCGCGTGGAGCCGGACAAGTGGCGCGAGCTCGTGCAGGTCGCCGTGCTCTCGGTGACGGAGTCGCACGACGACCCGCGCGCCGCGGAGAACACGGCGACCGTGGCCATCCAACATTATTGCCACTCCGTGGACGTGCGCTTCAACAAGGTCATGCCCACGCTGCTCGTGAACTTCGTGGAGTCGACGTCGAAGAGCCTCATCGCGTTCGGCGCGGGCGGCTCCGGCCAGCGGGGCGAGCGGGGCCGCGCGACGTCGGAGAACTACTACCAGATGCGCTTCCCGAAGCACTGCGACGACGCCATGGCGCGCATGGCCGGCGTCGCCCAGCAGCTCGTGAAGCTCGCGTCGCCCGCGGAGTTCGGGCGAAAAAACGGGGGCCAACGGCCGACGGCCGTCGCCGCGGCCGTCGCGAAGACCTTCGGCTTCGCGGGCGACGCGTCGTCGGAGCCGTCGAACGCGCCCGCCGAGGAGGCCGCCCCAAAGGTCGACGAGGGCTACCCCATGTGGTACGACCTCTCCGAGTCCGTCGCGGACAACATCTCTTCGGACTCGGACATCGCGCCGGACCGCGACGCCGTGCGGCGCTGTGTGGAAACCAAATCTTCAACCCGCCTTCAATGTGAGCGTACGCGACAGTTTCGACGAAATCTCTTCGGCCGTGCTTCGAGAACTCGATGAGAGCAATCGATTCGTCCAAAAATCAGCCGAATCGACTTCGATTTGACCGAGCTAGAGAATTCTCAAGTTTGGCCCCGACGTCCCAGCTCACTGGTTGATTTGCACACAGGTGCGGCGCTACGCGGAGACGACGCTCTCCGCGCGCCACGGCGCGCGCAACGGCGGCAGCCCCGGCGACCACGACACGATCCTCCAGGTCGCCGCGGGCGGCCAGCACTCCATGGTGCTCTGCTACGACGGCCGCGTCTACGCGTGCGGCCTCAACGAGAACGGCCAGCTGGGCCTCGGCCGCGAGGGCGGCAGCGTCAACGGCCTCGAGCTCGTCAAGTTCGAGCTGCCGCCGCGCCACGTCTCCGCGGAGCTCTCCGACGACGCGTCGACGGTGTCCGAGTCGGTGGTGGAACAGCCCGTCTTCGAGTCGGCGTTCGACCGCCGCCGGAGCTCGCTGCGGCGGTCGTCGGCGGCGTCGACGGCCGTGGACGCCGCGGAGCTCGCGGCGAAGCTGAAGGCGAAGCTCGCCGAGGACGAGCGGGGCGAGGCGGGCCTGGGGGACGCGCGGCGCGGGTCAACGGGAGACGTCGACCATTCGAAGGCCGCGGCGCGGCGCGCGTCCTACATCGTCGACCGCCGCGGCAAGTCCGCGGCGGAGATCGAGGAGCTCGAGGCGCGCATCCTCGGCCGCGACGACGACGACGAGAAGCAGGAGACGCACGAGGACCATTTGGCGTTCACGCGGGAGGAGTTCCTCCGTAAAAAACAGCGCGAGCTCGACGCGGACCGCGCGGCGGCGGAGGCCGCCGTCGCCAAGGCGCGGGCGGACCTGAAGCGCCGGGACCAGATGCGCGAGGTCACGCGGGGCATCGACCTCTTCGAGCCGCGCATCAACGTGTCGTCCATCGCGTGCGGGTCCATGCACTCGGCCGCGCTGTCGAGCCTCGGCCACCTCTACACCTGGGGCAACGGTTCCATGGGCCAGCTCGGTTTAGGCGACCGCCAGTCGCGCTGCAAGCCCCAGCGGGTCAAGGGGCCCCTGGAGCGGGGGGCGGCCGTGCTCCTCGTCGACTGCGGGTCGTTGTTCACGGTGGCCTTCGGCGAAGTCACGGAGACGATGGCCAACGGCGCCGAGGTCACGGAGAACCGGCTCTTCAGCTGGGGCAACAACCGGGGCGGCGCCCTGGGGCTCGGCCACCAGCTCCGGCGCGTCCACGGCGCCGCGACGGTGTCCGTCGTCGAAGATCCCACGGAGGTCGAGGACATGCGGGGCGTCGACTTCCAGCAGGTCTCCTGCGGCGGCTTCCACAGCGCGTTGCTGGACGTCGCCGGGCGCGTGCTGACCTGCGGCGAGATCGCCCAGGTCGGGCGCAAGGGCGTCACGGACGCGTTCGCGGCCGTGCGGCTGCCGCGGCGGCGGAAGCTCGACGGCGCGCGGACGCGGGGCACGGTCCTCGAGTGCGGCGGGTCGCACACGGTCGTCCTCACGTCGACGAAGGAGGTCTTCACCTTCGGCGACAACTCCTACGGCCAGCTGGGCATCGGCTCCAAGGCCGCGCGCGCCCGTGTGGAAATCGACCACTGGTTTGGGTGGTCCTGACCAAACTTGAGAATTCTCTAGCTCGGTCACATCGAAGTCGATTCGGCTGATTTTTGGACGAATCGATGGCTCTCGTCGAGTTCTCGAAGCACGGCCGAAGAGGTTGCGTCGAAATTGTCGCGTATGCTCACATTGAAGTCGGGTTGAATATTTGAATTCCACGCAGGCGCGCGCGACGCCGACGCGCGTCGAGTCGCTCGCGGGCATGGACATCTGCTTCGTGGCCGCGGGCATGGCCGCGTCCGGCGCCCTGACCGTGTCCGGCGCCGTCTACATGTGGGGCCAGCAGTCCTGCGGCCAGCTCGGCGACGCGCGGCCCGCGTCCGTCGCCGAGGACATCGTGATCCCCGCGCTCGTGTCCATCCCGAGCCACTGCCGCTGCCGCCAGCTCGCGCTCGGCGACGCGCACTCGCTCGCGGTGACGGAGTTCGCCATGGCGGGCACGCGGCGGAGCCGCGCGGCCGTCGACGCGTTCCGCTCGGACGTCAAGGCGCACTTCACGGTGGCCTGGGCCATGACGCTCCACCTCCGCGCGAAGAAGCCGACGCAGGTCACGAAGAACGTCGGCGCGCTCTACCGCCAGAAGACGGCGCCCCTCGAGGAGCAGGTCGAGAGCCACCGCCACATCAAGGTCGACCCCTTCCTCATCGGCCAGTGGCGCACCGCGCAGAAGCTCTCCAAGCTCTACCGCGAGATCGAGCGCGACGAGATCCTGAGCCACCGCACGCGGACGAAGATCCTCGCCGCCCAGCGCACGCTGCGCCTCCAGAGCGTGCTGAACGCGTTCCCGCCGGAGACGCGGCGCCTGAAGCTCGAGCGCGCGCGGTGGCGCGACGAGCACAAGACGCCCCTCGTGCGCGCCGAGAGCCTCCTCGAGCCGGAGACGCCGCGCCAGTTCGCGTCGACGCTGCGCCGGCGCAAGGAGCAAGGGTCGCTGGTCCGCAACAAGGAGGCGGCGCGCGCGCGCGCGTCGAAGCGCTCCACGAAGAGTCCGTCGCCGCCGCCGCCGCTCAAGAAGGAGCCGACGAAGCGGACCCTCGCCGCGAAGGCGGCGAAGCCCGCGCGCAAGCACGCCGCGCGGCCGTCCCAGTTCGGCGACCTCGACCGCACGAACGAGTTCGGCGTCTACGACCCCGTCGTCGAGCCCGAGCCGCTGGAAGAAGAGGACGAGGAGGAGACCGTCGCGTCGAAGGCGTCCAAAATGTCCGCGTCGACGGCGCGGAGCCACCACAGCGCCTTCGACACGGCGCGCCGCGAGCACGACGCCGACCTGGCGAAGCTCCGCAAGGCCGCGCGCGAGCAGATCCACGCGGCGTCCGTGCCGACGATCGACGACGAGTTCCACGCGGTCAAGCTCGCGCAGCACCGTTTGGCCAAGAGCCGCCACGCCATGCGGGGCCACAAGAAGGACGGCACGCGCGACGACTCCCACAAGGTCAACGCCATGGAGGCCATCGTGCGCAAGCGGCGCGACCTGGGCCAGGTCGCGCTCCGGTGCAACATGAGGAAGATCATCGACCTATGTTCGGCGCGCGGCGCCGTGCGGCTCCGGGCGACGGGCAGCATCATGTGCGCGGCCTTCGACATCGACCTGTGCTTCCACGTCGAGGGGCTCATGCGCGCGCACCGCCTCTGGGCGCGGCGGAAGCGCAAGGACCGGCTGCGCAAGAAGGCCTTCCGCATCCAGACCATGAACGAGTCGGCGCTGCGGAAGTACCGGGCCATCTCGCGGGGCCAGGACCCGCGCGAGAGCGACGAGGAGGACGAGTCCGACGACGAGTCCGGCGACGATTGCCTCCCGGACATGCGGACGCACCGCCACCTCCAGAACATCGCCGAGGCCGACGTGTCCGACGAGGAGGCGGAGGAGGAGGAGCCGCCGCCGGCGCCGTCGCCGCCGAAGCGGAAGAAGCGGCCCCTCGCGCTCTGGGAGATCGCCAAAAAGCGCGCGGAGAAGGTGAGAGCGACGGCGAATCTGAAGGCCACGGTGTCGGACATGCGCGTCTTCGGCTGCATCGTCGACAGCCAGCACACGGAGGACATCACGCTGCGCACGCGCGAGCGCACGGTGACGCGCGTCGGCGAGACGTTCATCGACCGGAGCGTCGCCGCGCGGTTGAAGGAGCGGCGGCCGTCGGAGGTCGACATCTCCGAGGACGTGGACCTGGACGCCCTGCTCGCGAGCGTCGACGACCGGCAGCGCGCGCTCGAGGAGGACGCCGACGGCCCGCGGCGCCGGAGCCGGCCCGCGAGCGCGGCCGCGGCGCGCGGCGACGGCGCCGGCGGCGCCGCGAGCCCGCTCCGGCGCGGCTTCCGGCGGCCCCAGTCGGCGCCCGCGAGCTCGCGGGCCTCGAAGCAGCGCCAGGCGAACGCCGCGCTCACGCACGCGAACCGGCGCCACGAGGAGAGCGACGCGCCCAAGGCGCCGCGCCTCGGCCGCGACGTCGCACGCCGCGCGTACTGCCGGCCGCCGCGGCCCGCGAAGGCGCCGTCGCCCCGGCCGGGCCCGCGGCCCGCGTCGCCGCGGCGCACGGTCTGCGAGAAGACGCGCAAGCCCGCCGTCCCCGCGCGGCGGCCGTCGTCGGGCGAGACGGCCGAGGCGCCGGCGCCGCGGACGGACCCGGAGCCGACGTCGGCGATTCTCGAGGTGCCCGCGCGCGACTTCCCGGCGCCGACGACCTTCGGGCCGGACGTCGACGTCGACGCCATCCCCGAGGTGGCCGCGCCGCGGGCGGAGAAGGACGACGGGCGCCGCGTCTACCGCGGGTCGCCGAAGCGTCGGCGGAGCCCGCGGCCCGCGCGGTCCGCGCCGCCCTTCCCGACGCGCCTCGGCGACGGCACGATCGCGGCCATGGCCGCCGCCGTCGCCGCCGCGGCCGTGCCCCCCGTCGGCCGGCGCTACGGCGCGAAATCGCAGGACCGGCGGCCGCCGTCCGCGCGCGAGCGGCAAAAGGTCACGCGCGAGGAGCGCTTCAAGCGCTACCTCGAGCTCAACAAGTTCAAGGACGAGGCCTTCGTCGTGCCCGAGCCCGTGCGGTCGTCGCCGCGCCGCGGCGGCTCGCCGCGGCGGCCCATCTCCGCGCCGTGCCGCCGGAGCGGCCGCCGGCCCGCGTCGGGCCGGTCCATGGCGTCCATGGACCCGGGCGCCGTGAGCTTCCTCTGGGTGCCGTCGCGCGCGCCGCCCGGCGCGGCGCCGCCGGCGGACGACGCCGTCTCCGCCGACAAGGGCGGCGGCGAGCCGCCGCTCCGGCCCGAGTCCGCGGCCACGGAGCCCGCGGCGCCGTCGCCCGAGGGGCCGGGCCGGCCCGCGTCGGCGCGGACCTACGAGAACTACGGCGACCGCGACGGCCGCGACGACGACGACCGGGCGCAGCGGCGGTCGCGGCCGCGGAGCGCCAACTTCGCGCGGCAGCAGCGCGCGTCCGCCGCGTCCGCGCGATTGTACCAGCGCGTCCGGCCCAAGAGCGCCGCCGTCGTCCGCGTCTCCGAGCCCGCGCGGGACGACGACTACGACGCCGTCGCCGACGCGATCTGGCACGACGACCCGGGCTCCGACGACGACGAGGACATCCCGTCGTGGGTGTAAGGGCTCGATTTGAAATCGACCCCCCCAGGCGCGTCAGTTCCGGGCCCCGCGGCTCCTGGGACGCACCCCACCGGTAGGGCGCGACCCCCGGGGGTCTGAGGAGTCGCTCCGTGCGCTTGTCCCGTTTTTTTGCTTCGTGTCCCGTACTCGTCCTGCCGCTCTACCCGGGTCCGTGGTCGAACCATCGTTTATCCCCGGCAGGACGTCGAGTACCTGGATTAGTTAGGCGCTCGAAGCTGCTATGGCAGCTGATGGAATCTCCACCTTAGAGGGCCCCGTGCTCCTCGAATATGCAGCGACGTGCAACGATCCCAGCGGCTTTGAGGGTCCGCAAACATGTGGGTGAGGCACATGAAAAGACGCGACATCCGGACGATTGCGAGGTGGCGCAAACGGGCAGCCTCAGGGGGTGGAATGGGGCGCGGCAGCTTCCCCCGACCCGAATTTCGGTCGCCTTCCTTCGAGTCACAGAGCGTCGGGAATCGTTCGTCATGAGGGCGATCAGATGCCCTCGCGGCAGCCCTTCGGCTCGAGCCGATTTGATCGAGATCACCTCACCGGCTCCGGGAGGCGCGCGGCGCCGCGGGTGACACGGCGCTCACTGCGCAATGCATGCGGCGTTCGGGCCGCGGCAACCTTGACAGGCCACTCGGGAGGGACATTCCAGGCGGTGTTTACTCGAGATGCCGCGGCCCGCTCGAGCCCTGGAACTAAGTTGGGCCTCTCGTCGGTCGCCCCCCACCATTAACGGCCGTTCTCGTCATCCACGGGCTGCCCCGACGCGAACTAAGTTGCTCGCCTTCGACCGATGGTCTTTCCCGAGCGACTCGCACCCGGGCCCGAGGCGCGGCAAGGTCCACAGACCGAGCGCCGCGCCAAGTCCTGGAACCGCTGCATCGGCTAGCGAAAGACGCGTTTTAGCCCAGATCTGACAAAACGAGGAAAGCCTCCAGGGGGGGCTGATCTCAGATCAAGCCTAAGTGCGGCGTGGTTTTAGTAGTCGCCATCATCATCATCCCGAATTTGCCGAAACTGCTCGGGCACTTCCGGCTCCGCGGCCTCACCTTCCTCGACACGCACGGCAAGGTCCGCCCCTACATCAAACCCTACTGCGAGCGGCACTGGCGCCTGCGCCAGGACGCCGCCGTCCACTGGCGCCTCCCGCGCCTGTGAGACCCCTCTGAGCCTCCCGTCCCCCGCGGTTCCTCCCGGGCCCCCTACGTTTAGAGACGCGTCAAGGAGATTTGTGGAGTCGAGTCGACGAGTAGTCTTGCCCCGTAGTGTAGTGCTCAAGTGTCCATCACGGGCAGCGCTAGCTCGCCACGCCCCGGGGGGGTTGCCGCATAGCATGACGAGGGCGAAGGCGCCGCTGTGGTTGCCCTCAGTTAAAATAAAAATACACTGTGGCACGCAAAACTTACAGGATCGTCGCCTCCGCGACCGCGGGCTCCGTGAGTCGCGCGGCCTCGCCGACGGGGCCCCGGGCCGCCTGCCGCCGCTGCTCCGATCCGACGGCGATGAACACGAGGGCCGCGAAGACCAGCGCGAGGCAGAGGACGCCGTTCGCGAGGACGCGCTCGCTGGACAGGCCCTCGACGCCGTAGATCAGCGCGATGCCGCCGGTCTGCGCCGCGACGTTCAAAGCGCCCGCGACGGTGGACTCCGAGGCTGGGTACGACAGCTCGACGCCCCACTCGAAGCCGGCCGACGTGATCGTCGAGAGCAAAAAGCCCAGGATGGACACGAGAATACAAATATCCGTGATCGCCGACGTGCCACTGTCGAGCGCGATGCCGGCCATGACAACCGCGCCCGCCGCGGCCATGGCGACGTTCAGCCCGCGGAACCGCTTCACGACCATGAAATCCAGGATCGCGCCGCCGCCCAGCGCGCCCGGCAGCCCCGCGGAAATGAACGCGCCGCCGACGACGGAGACGCCGTGCGTCGAGAGGTCCGGGAGCAGCACCTCGAGGTCCGTGGACAGCGCGTATAAGACGCCGACGGCCGCGCCGTAGCCCAGACTCAACAAGCTCACGCCGGCGCCGGTCACCGGCGACAGGTACAAGTCCGCGCAGTTGCGGCAGAAGGCCTTGAACGTCGGCGCGGCCGTCTCGTCGCGCTTCGCCGCGAGCGCCGACGGCGGTCGCGCGGGCGCCTCCGGGATCGCGACGACGACCAGGGCCAAGGCCGCGATGGTGCAATAAAAAGTCCCCTCGAGCAGCACGTTCATGCCGTCGCCGTTCGTGCCCGTGACGACGTCCGGCACCAAATAGTAGGCCACCGCGGGGCCGAGCTGGTTCGCGAAGACGCCGATGCCCGTCGCGAGCCCCCACTCCGCCTCCGGGAACCAGAGCGCCGCGATGCGCGGCGGCGCGCCCAGGCTGAAGCCCTGGGCCATGGCGCAGACCGTCTGGCCGAGGAACACGAGCGCGAACGAGTGCGACGCGCACGAGCCCCAGCGCATCGCGGCGCCCGCGCAGTTCATGGCCGCGCTGATGCGCAAGCCCCGCTGGAGCGACCGCGCGTCCTTTTCGATGAAGAAGGAGCAGGGCAGGAACACCAACGGATAGATCGCCATGTAGATCATGCTCAACCAGTCGACGTCGTCGCCGGAGACGGCGTAGTAGCTCGCCGTCGCCGACCGCACCGGCGCGAACTCGATCCACATGAAGTTATTTAAGCCACTCAGAAAGCTGAAGGCGAAGAGCACGGGCCAGCGCGTCGCCGTCGGGCCCACGCCCGTCTCGGGCTCCGCATCCGCTGCGGCCATGCTAGCGCGAGGTCCTTAAGCTGTCACGGGATCCGCACTCCCAGCCATGCCCATCAATCACGGCACGGTCGTGGGCAGCATCCAAGATGTTGATCATCGCAGCCGACATTGCTTGTGGCAGAGCATGGAGTGAGTGAGCCCTCGCTTGCATGAGAGCCATAGCGCGTGAGTGATTCCTCGCTTGCATGAGAGCCATAGCCTTCATGCTCCTGCGCGCGGCGGCGTTCGCGCCGATCACGCGCCACGCCCGCAAGCGCCTGCAATCGACCGCATCCAGCGACGACCCCTTCGCCGCGCTCGGCCGGCGCGCCGTCGACGTCGTCGCCGCGGACGGCGCCGCGCGGCTCTACGTGGTCCCGACGCCCCTCGGCGAGGTCGCGGACCTCACGTTCCGCGCCGTCGCCGCGCTCGCGCGCGCCGACGTCGTCGCCTGCGAGGACACGCGGCGCGCGGGCGATCTGTTCGCGCGGCTCGGCATCGACCGCGCGTCGCGCGGCGCGTTCGTGCGCCACGACCTCCAGACCGCCGGCGCGTCGGCGCCGCGGCTCGTCGACGCCATGCTCCGGGGCGACGTCGTCGCGCTCGTGAGCGACGCGGGCACGCCGGCCGTGTCGGACCCGGGCGCTCTGCTCGTGAGGGAGGCCGCGGCCCGCGGCGTCGTCGTGCGGGCCCTGCCGGGCGCCTGCGCCGCGACGACGGCGCTGAGCGCCTCGGGCTTCGATTCGACCAACGGCTTCATCTTCCGCGGCTTCGTCGACGGGCGGGGCCGGAGCGCGGCGCGGCGGCGGTCGCTGGCCGCGGCGCTCGCGTCCGCGGACGACGCGCCCACGGTGCTCTACGAGTCGCCGAAGCGCGTGCGGTCCCTCGTGGCGGCGCTCGACGACCTCGACGGCGGGACGTCGCAACGGCCGCTCGTGGTCGCGCGCGAGCTCACGAAGACGCACGAGGAGCTGTGGCGGGGCGTTCTCGGCGACGCGGCCGCGTGGATCGACGGCGGCGGCGCCGGCGCGGCGGCGGCGGGCGGCGACCCCCGCGGCGAGTTCACGCTCGTGCTCGACGCGCGGCCCGCGGCGCCGGGCGACGCGGACGACCTCGACGCGGCCGCGGTCGCCCTCGTCGCGGACCTCCGGGGCAAGGGGCTCTCCGCGGCCGCCGCCGCCAAGGCCGCCGCCGCCCAGCTCGGCCTGCGCAAGTCGCGCGTCTACCAGCTCGCCCTCGACGCCGAGGGGTCGCCCTAACTACAACGTTGCCTTCAGTGAAGACCGAAACCGCCGACTGTTAGTTGTTGAACTCTCCCAGCGCGCTCGAGGTGGCGGCCGGGATCCCGGTCCAGCCCCGGGATGCCGGGCGTCTGGCTCCTCGACGAGACCTATGACTACGACGCCGCGTCGCAGAATTTCGCGACGCACGCCGCCGAGGCGCGGCGCCAGGAGTCGGGCAGCGCGCCCGGCATCCGGGTGACGGTGACGACGACGCCCGGGTCGCCGAAGCGCCCGCGGGCCCGCGGCGGCCCGGCGTCGCCGACGAGCGACTCGAGCTCCTTCGCCGCGCCGGGCTCGCCCCCGAAGAAGGCCACGGCGAGCGAGGGCCCGCCGCGGCGGCGGCGGCCCGCGGACGACAGCCCGCAGTCGACGTCGCGCGACTTCGCCAAACTCGACACGGCCGTGGACCCGACGACGAAAGCCCTGGGGCGGCGCTGGGACCCCCACGCCCACGCCCGGCCCCACACGTCCGACGGCTACGAGCGGCGCCGCGCGCTCAACGCGGGCGACGTGCAGCTGAAGCTGCGCCCCGAGACGGCCGTCGCCGGCGTCGGCGGCCGCCGGCGCATCGAGGTCGCGCGGCCGCGGTTCCGCCCGCCGCGCCTCGCGGAGCAGGACCGGCCGCCCGTCGCCGTCGCGCCGGCCTGGGCCGAGTACGTCGAGCCGCCGCGCGAGCACCCGGGCCACGGCGCGGCCGCCGAGGCGCGGGCCGCGGCGCGCGCGCGCGCCGACGCGCTCCAGTCCCAGTGGCTCGCGAACCTGCCGCGCCACCTGCCGACGTCGAACCACTGGCGCAAGGCCAGCGCCCTCGACGACCCGACGAGCGGCGTCTTCTGGTCCGGGTCCCTCCACACGCCCGCGGTCCGCGCGTTCATGACGCCCACCGTCGTCCACCGGACGCGGTCCAACGCGCTCCGCAAGGTGCGCTTCCCCGTGCGCACGGCCCTCTACGACGTCCACCCCGTCGAGAACCGCCCGCGGCCCCACACGGCGCCCAAGTACCTCTGATAGAGTACACGCGCCGCGCGGGGCTAGAGTTCCGGCCTTACGAAGCCCCGGTTGACCAGCATATTGCCGACGGCGAGGCAGTTCGCCTCGTCGATGCCTTGAAATTCCGGAGCGGCGCCCTCGCCCTTGAGGCTTTCCTTGTGCGCCTTGATGACGGAGTCCATCGCGGTCTCGCCGCCGGAGGCCCGCGCGTTCGGGTCCGCGCCGTGCTCGAACAGCAGCGCGACGAGGTCCCGCGCGCAGCGAAGCGACGCGATGAAGAGCGGCGTCGAGCCGTCCTCGAGCGCCGTGTTGGCGTCGGCGCCGTGCTCGAGGAGCGTCGTCGCGGCTTCGAGTTGTTCGCTGATGACGGCCTGGAAGAGCGGCGTGAGGTTATGGGCGCCGCGGTCGATGGCCGCGCCGGCCTCGAGCAGCAGCTCGACGCACGCCATCTCACCCGTCCCCGCCGCGCCGTGGAGCGGCGAAAACTCCGGGAGCGCCGTCTCCTCCGAGCACGCGAGGTTCGGATCGGCGCCGTCGGCGAGGAGCGCGCGGACCCGCTCCGTGTCTCCCTGAATCGCGGCGCTCACCAGGGGCGGGCACGCCACGGAGATGTTTTCGAAGACGTGCTCCAAGTCCACCCTTTGGAAGTGCTCTCGAACATAAGGTACATCGTCGTCGCCGCGGATTAGCGGAACGAGACATACGAGCACACAGCGAGCCATCCAAGCACTGCAGGGGAAAACGAGCGCACTGTGAGCCATCACTGCAGCGAGCGTGAGGACCTCTCTCTCTAGCGCATTGCGACGCGCTCGAGCTGCAAGGTTGGCTTCACACAAAACCGTGCTTGAAGGCGGCGCCCTGGCACGATGGAGCCCATGTAGAGTCTAGACATGAGCTGCTTCGCGTCCGTGTCCATGGACGACGCCCGCACGCGCCTGCCCGGCCCGCTCTTCGAGGCCATGCTCCTGCTGCGCCACGCCGGCCGCGCGGACATGGCGTCGCGGCGCTTCGAGGCCTGGGCGGCGGCGACGGCCGACCTGCCCCTCGACGGCGTCTGCCTCTACCTCAACTCCTGGCTGGCCATGTACGACGTCACGGTCGTGCGCGGCCGGCGGCGCGGCGAGGCGCGCCGCGACGGCGCATCCTGGCGCAGGGCCGAGGGCGGCGCGGGCTTTTCGCGCGCGGCGGCGGCCGTCGCGAAAGCGGCCGCGGCGTCGCTCGCGGGCGCGGGAGGCGACGTGCGGGCGCGGGAGGTCGTCCTAGTCTACGCGCGCCTCGAGCGGCGCCGCGAGCGCTACGCGGCGGCCCGAGAGGCCTTCGCGTGGCTCGCGCGCGTCGACGGCGGAGGCGACGGCGCGGCGCACGGCGCGGCCGCGGCGCTCTGCGCGTACCACTGCGGCGACTACGCCGGCGCCATCGCGCTCGCCGGCGCCGACGCGGCCCTCGCGCACCGCTTCTACCTCTTCCACGCGTCGGCCGCGCCCGAGGGCCTCGCGCTCCGGAGGCGAGCCGCGGAGACCGCGGCCGCGAAGCTCCGGCGAACGCTCCGGTCCGCCTACGACGACGTGCGCGTCGACGACGGCCAGGTCGTCCTCGCCTGGCTGCGCTCGCCGGGCCTCGGCGTCCTGGGACCCAACCCGGTCATCTTCGACGACGCGGCGATCCACTGCGGCCGCCGCGGCGAAGGACGGGGCGCGACAAGGGTGCGAAATTCCCAACTTCTATCTCGGCCGCGTTCCATTCGTTTCGGCTGATTTCGGGACGAGCGATCATCTCTTGGAGTGCTCTCGAAGTGTGGATCTTTTCTTTGGAACGCGCGCGGGCGGACCACGCGCGTTGAAGCGACGTTGCATCACCCTGTTTCCCGCCCAGGCGAAGGCGACCCGTTCGCGCCGGGCTGCGACGGCGACAAGGTCGACCCCCGCGACTACGCGCCGGAGCGAGCGGCGCCGGAACCGGTGATCCTCGTCCCCGCGTCGAAGCCGGGCAACTACTACCACTGCCTCCTCGAGTTCCTCGCGCGCGTGGCCCGCGCGGCCTCGGCGGGCGTGCTCCCGCGCGGCGCGACGCTCCTCGTGCCCGCGAACCAGTGCCTCGCGCTCTACGCCGAGGCCCTGGCGCTGCTGCGCGTCGAGCGCTGGCGGCCCGTGGACCTGACGAAGGCCCTCGCGCTGCCCGCGGGGGCCTGGGTCCTCGACGGCGCGACGGTCGCGCGGACGGAGTCGCGCGGTTTGGACGCCGGCGCGTGCGACGCGCCGCGGTCCCTCTGGGACTTCTACACGCCGCCGCGGTCCGCGCCGCGGGCGCTCCGGGCGGCGCTCGCGCGGCCGACGGCGCCGACGACGGCGATCCTCGTGCTCCGGCGCGGCGACCGCGCGTTCGCCGACGGAGCGGCGCTCCTCGCGGCGCTCGAGGCCGCGGCGCCGCGGTACACCTGGGTCGCCTTCGACGACGCGCCGCGGAGCCTCGCGGCGCAGATCGCGCTCTTCGGCGCCGCGGGGCTCGTCGTCGGCGCGCACGGCGCGGGCCTCGCGAACCTCGTCTTCGCCGCGGAGGGCTGCCGCGTCCTCGAGTTCCCCGTCGTTGGTCGAGCGAACCGGACCTACGAGTGGCTCGCGCGCGCGCTCGGCCACGCCTACGCCGCCGCGGACGCGGAGGCGACCTTCACGGGCGCGCTCGACCTCGACGACGCCGCGGTGGCCGACGCGGCCGCGAAGGTTCGCGGGTTGACGGACGGATCCTTGAGGTAAACAGTGAGGTAAGCGAGACCTCAATATTCAAAGGTCTGACTTGGGCCTACCCGTGCCCGCACGCGCTGTCGTTCGATGGCCGGACCGCGGCTGCAGGGTGCGAGGTCGGCGTCGACGGCGCGACGGAGGATGCTCTCCAGCACGCTATTGGTCCCGGGCTAACCGTGTTACCCGCCCTGGCGCAGCGCCTGGGCGATGGGGACGAACTCCGGGTCGTCCGGGTCGACGAAGCCGTGGCGCATGGCGAAGTCGAGCATGACGAGCGCGGAGTTGGGCTTCCATTTGAAGAGCTCGTCGCGGAGCGAGTCGACGGCCTCGTCTACGGGCACGAGGCGGAACTCGTCGACCTCGCCGTCGCCGTTCATGGGCACGAGCTCCCGGGGCAGCCTCAGGTCGAAGACGACGAGCGTCTTCGCCGAGAGGCCCCGCTTCGCCGCGTACTTGTAGGACACGCAGCCCGCGGGCCTCAGGTCGCGGTCGAGCACGGCCCGGGGGATCGACGCCTCCTCCTCGGCCTCCTTCTTCGCGTTCTCGAGCAGCGTCAGCTCCGCCGGGAGCCCGCCCGCGGCGATCTGGTCGTAGAGGCCCGCGTACGTCGGCTTCGACAGCGCGCGCGTCGCGACCCAGACGGCCGCGGGCCGCCCGTCGTCGCCGGCGACGTAGCCGGACACGTGGCAGCCGTAGGACACGACGCCAAAGGCGACGACGGCCGCGCGCTCCATGCGGAGCAGCGGCGGCGCCGCGAGGCCTCGACCCGACGGCCGCACGTCCTGCAGCTCGCCCCGGAGCTTCGCGCGCGGCACGAACGCGATGGCCTCCGACGCGCCGCGCTCCGCTAGGAGCTCGCTGTCGGCGACCAAAGCCTCGACGAGCGCCGCGACGACGCGCGTCCGGTCGCCCACGGAATCCGCGTTCGGCGCCAGGACGACGGCCTTCGACGCCACGTCGTCGTCGCCGTCCACCGACGCCGTGTAGGGCAGCGGGTTCGGCCCGACCTCGACGGCGTTGCTCAGCCCCAGGCCCTTCAACTTGCGCAGCAACTCTCCCGACACCGCCCCGACCGGCTCGCCGCCGCAGAGCACGGGCGCGTAGCGCGCGGCGTCGTAGTAGTTGCACCGCTCGACGACGCGGAGCAGGCCGCCCGTCTCCAACGGCGCCCAGCCGGCGTCCCGGCGCCGCGCGTCGCACTCCTCCTGCGTCTCGTCGACGAGGCACAACGACGCGACGTCCTCCTCGACGGCCGACCCGCCGGACGCGAGTCGTTTCGGGAGCGCGTCCGCGACGCGCACCGCGCCGCGCCGCGCGGCCTTCGTCGACGCCCGCTCGAAGGCCGCCGGCGCCGCGTAGCGCCGCCGCGCGCGCTCGCCGCGGACCGCGCGCCGCGACGCGCCGAGCACGTCGTCCTCGACTTTGTCCAAGAACGCGCAGATCTCGTCGAACGTCTCGAGCTCGGACCGCGCGTTGTCGACGCGCAGCACGGCGCAGGACTCGGAGAACATGGCCAATATGTCGTCGACGGCCGCGTCGTGGTCCGCGAGCCGCCGCCGCAGCACTTCTTCCGTGTCGTCCGTGCGCCACACCAGCCGCGGCTCGACGTCCTCCGGCGGCGGCGCGTATTTGGGGTGGTAGACCGTGCCCGTCGCCGAGTCCGTGCACCGCCCGAGCACGAAGTCGACGGCGAGGTCGTCGGGCCGGTCGAGCACGACGATGGCGTCGGGTGTGAGGAGGTACGCGTCGTCGCCCATGGGTGGCCCGTCGAAGGGCAGGTCCGCGGGCACCTGCAGCGGCGGCGATTTGATCATGCGCGCCGCCTGCGCCGCCGTCCGCGGGAAGCCGTCTAACAGCCAGCCGCAGGCGACGGCGTCGCGCCGCGACACGCGCTCCGCGACGACGGAGAGCGCGAGCTCGTCGGGCAGGAGCCGCCCGCTTCGCATCGCGTCGGCCACGGCGTCGTCGCCGCCGCCGCCGACGCGCGCGCGGCTCCGTAATAAGTTGCCCAACCCGACCTGGGCAACCCGATAAGCCGTGCAGAGCATGGGCGCGATCGTGCCCTTGCCCGAGGCCGGCTTGCCGAGGAGCACGACCTTGAGGCCACTCGCGCCGCCGGGGCCCCGCGCGGCGGACCGCCGCCGCATCTGCGCCTCGGCGGCGTAGCGCCGCTCCGCGGCCGACGCGTAGGTGAAGTCGTAGGGCGTTCGCGTCTTGGCGCGCGCGGCGAGTGTCGTCGTTTTGCGCCGCGGCGGTGTCACGAGCGCCGAGGCGACCGCGAGGATGAGGGCGGCGATTGTGCGCGGCATCGCACGCATCGATGCGCGGACCGACGCTGCACCTGCTTGCGCGTCGGAAGCGAGATGCGCCTTGGATCGCGCGCGGCAGGCACCGTCGACAGAGAGCGCTTTTGATCGGCCCAGTCAGAAGCAACATACGCCTCAGGCTCAACATTGATGTGTTGCACCATGAAGCCGTTTTCACGAAAACCGCCGCGCGCCGCACGACTGCACTGAGCCAGGCGTGGTTCCGTCTCGAGCCACCGCTCGGTTTTACACGGCACGCGCGCGCGCGCGTCACCGGACGTTCGTGGCCTCGACCTCGAAGAGGAAGTAGTTGTAGGGGTCCTGGCGCTGGAGCTCGCGCTCGATCTGGCGCTTGGAGCCGAAGTCGTCGGGGACGGGGCCCGGCGACTTGTTCAGCGGCAGGCTGAAGGCGAGCGGCGCGGGCACGACGACGCGGCGCACGCCGCCCTTCTTCATGCCGCGCACTGCCTCGTCGAGGCCCGGCACGGCGCCGCCGCTCCCGACGGTGAAGATGAAGGGCTCGAACTTGTTGGCGATGGTCGGGTCGCCGAAGAGGAGCACGCCGCCGTCGGGGCCGGACGCGAGCTGGCCGAACGAGCTCGAGACGAAGTAGCCGTTCGACCGGCGGAGCACCCACTGGAGCGTCATCTTCGACCCGACGCCGGCGCCGGCGCCCGCGCCCTCCTTGAGGTCGATGTAGCGCACGCCGCTGTCGAGTTTCTGCATGGCGCCTACCGCCCGGCCCGCCGCCGCCGACTGCTCCACCTCGGCGGCGGCGACGGCGGGCCCGACGAGCGCCGCCGCGGCCGCGCCGGCGCCGATGCTGGGCAGGGCGCGCCGCGTCGCCTGCGGCCGCATGGCGGCGGCGGTGCCGAAAATTAGAGCAAGCATGGCTCCTGCTGCGCGCCGGTCGACCATCTTGAGGCTCTGATGCGACGGCTCCGTGGTGCGACTTCAAGCTGACGGAACCATGCCGTGCTAAAAAAAAGCGCTGCGACGGCTCCGAGTTGCGACTTCGAGCTGGCGGAACCATGCCGTGCTTCCTCAAGCAAAACACGCACGTTACACAGCCCCCCGGAAGATGGTCAGAGCGCCTCCAGGAGCTCGGAGTCGAAGACGGAGTCGAAGCTGGACATGTCGTCGAAGTCGCCCTCGTCGTCGTCGTCGTCCTCGTCGGGCTGGCCCGGCTCGGGCTCCTCGGGCGAGATGCGGATGAGCGCGACGTCGTGGTAGGCGCAGACGCGCGCCGCGCGCCGCAGGGCGGCCCGCGCGTCGCCCGCGCGCGACCGGATCCACTCGAGGCCCGACACGCGGCGGCCGCGGACGACGAAGAATCCCGTGTCGTCCGCCGGTCGCGCCGCGGCGCCCGGCGGCGACGCGGGGCAGAGCGGCGGCACGTCGGAGAAGGACGGCGCGGAGCGGCGCATGGACGCCGCCGCGCGGTGGAGGGACCGCTTCGCCGGCGCCTTCCGGACCGTCGGACCGACGTAGCCCGTGCCGAGCTTCCAGTGCTCGAGGTCCCGCGCGGCGGGCAGCCCGCGCACGCAGGCCTTGCAGACCTCCTCGGCGAAGCACGACGCGACGTCGAGCGCCGCGGCGAGGCCCCGGAGCACGGACGCGGCCCGGAGCACCGCGACCAGACTCTCGGGCAGCGCGCGGCCGTCGTCCTCGAGCAAGGGCGACGGGTGCTTCACGTTCGCGCGCCGCCGCGCCGCCGCGCCCGCGCCCGACGCCGGGTCGTGGAGCAGGAAGACGAAGACGCGCATGAGCGCCTTCCGCGTGCCGTCGTCCGCGCCCAGGCCCGCGGCCGCGATGAGCGCGTCGAGCGACGCGCGCAGGAAGCTCGGGTCCTGCGTCGCCGTGCCGTAGGCGCAGCCCGCGAAGGCCGCGCGCACGTCGTCGTCCAGCCGCTCGACGGCGCCGCCGTCCAGGAGCACGAGGTCGAAGCCGTCGGCCTGCTCCGGGTTCGGGCGCACGAGGACGTTGCCCGCGTGGGGGTCGCCGTGAAATAAGCCCTCGGCGAAGATGCCGTGGGCGAGCGCCGCCGCCAGCCGGCGGAACACGGCGGCCTTGGCGATCTTGTGCTCCTCGAGCTCGCCGACGTCGTCGACTCGGAAGCCCGCCTCGAACGACCTGTGTGGAAATCAAATCTTCAACCCGCCTTCAACGTGAGCGTATGCGACGGTTTCGACACGAGATCTTCTGCCGTGCTTCGAGAACTCAACGAGAGCAATCGATTCGTCCAAAAATCAGCCGAATCGACTTCGATTTGACCGAGCTAGAGAGTTCTGAAGTTTGGTGGGGACCCCCCAAACCAGTGGTTGATTTCCACACAGCGAACGACATCACGAGCATCGTCCGCCGCGTGTACTGGGGCAGGATCTCCGGCAGGGACACGCCGCCGCCGGGCAGCGACTCGAGCGACTCGCGCAGGTCCCGCGCGTTCGCCTCCTCGCGCCGGAAGTCGAGCTCGCGCCGACAAGCGGACGCGTACGACGCCGCGGACGCGCGCAGGTACCTCAGGTCCGTCTCGAAAAACTCCGTCGCGAGCCACACCAGGAAATAGAGCAGGCGCAGGTCCGCCTCGAAGAGGACGTCGACGCCCGGCCGCGCCAGCTTCAGCGCGACCTGGATCGTGTCGCCGCCCTGATCGTCCGACGCGGGCGCGTACGCCTCGGCCCGGTGCACCTGCGCCACGGACGCGCCCGCCGCCGCCGTCTCGTCCAGCGCGGCGAAGGGCGCGAGGCCGTCGCCGTCGCCCCGCGGCCCGACGAGGGCCTCGAGCCCGAGCGCGCGCTCCGCGTACCGGCGACGCTCGCCCGCGAGCGGCGCCGCGGGCACGCGGTCCGCGCAGTGGGCGAGCTCGAGCGCCAGCGCCCGCGGGAGCACGTCGAGGCGCGCCGACGCGTAGGTCGCCGTCTTCACCCAGAGGCCGCCGAGCTCGACGACCGTGCGCGCGACGAAGATGCCGCAGCTCTTGAAGTGGTGCTCGTCGTCGTACTTGCGCGCGCGCCGCAGCTCGTAGACGGCGACGCCCGCGGACGCCAGAATCTTCGCGCGCCGCAGCAGGGCCTGGCCCGCGGCGGACCGCGCGATGATCGACGCCACGAGGAGCCCGAGCGACCAGAGCGTGACGGGCCCGGACCGGCCGACCGTCGCGCCCGCGAGGGCCAGGAGTTTCCCCGCGCAGCGGTCCACGACCGTGAGCGCGCCCGTCGCGCCGAGGAGCCAGGCCAGGGCGACGAGGGCCTGGAGCGCCGCGGCGGCCCACGCCGCGCGCGCCTCGACGCGCGCGGCGCCGACGTTCCGGTCGCCCTCGCCGGACTTGGCCAGGAGCGCCTCCTCGACGCTCTCGCACTGGATCTTGTGCTCGGGCCAGTCGCCGCGCTGGCAGGCCTTGGAGCAGTACGTCACCTGCTTGCAGCCCGAGCATCGATAGCTCTTCTCCGCCGCGACGCCGCAGTGGGCGCAGCTGTGGAGCAGGCCCTTCATCATCATACCCGTGGTTTTGCGCGCTTCGTCCGAGGGGCGCGACCCGACGGGCGTTCCCGGCGGCGTCTCCGGCGCGCGCGGCGCGCGGGGGACCGCGGACCCGGCGGGCGCGGGGCGCGGGCGGATCTCCTCGCCACTTGGCAATTCAGTTGTGCAAGGTTCGCGGGAGCGCGCTTCACGCTGATTGGTCTATCAGTTTTAGCGCCGCGCGCCCCTACGCGAAGATGCTCGCGCCGTCCTCGTCGAGCCCGCAGTCGGACTCGAGCTTGAGCTCGCGCTTCGTGCCCTCGGCGAGGTCGATGCAGCCCGAGATGCAGTCGTAGCAGCCCATCGTCGCGTCCATGGTGTAGAGGCCGCCCTCCGTCGCGTCGTAGGTCGGGTCCAGGCAGGACTTGATGATCGACGGCGTCAGCTCGAAGGCGCTGAGCACGGGGTCGTCGCAGGCCGTCGCGGCCGGCCCCGTCCAGTCCGGCGACGAAAAGGACCGGAACGGCTTCTCGACGCAGTCCTCGACGCAGTCCAACGTCGCGTCGTAGTCGCCCGACAACCGGCACGCGACGTCGAAGGTCTCGGCGCACGCGGACGAATCGGCCTCGCAGGCATCCCGCAGGTCGTCGTAGGCGTCGATGATGCGCGCGTAGGCCTCCGCGGGGTCGTAGTCGCCGACGTTCTCGACGCCGTGGAGCGCCGGGTACTGGCCCCGGTCCGTCAGCAGCACGCCCCCCCAGGGCTTGCCCGCGACGGCGAAGCCCGCGGCCTTCTGGAGCACGGAGGGGAACGCCGTCGAGTCGGGCCAGGTGCACTCCGCGGTCTGGTAGTCGCGCTGCTTGTCCTCGTTGACGGAGAACGCGACGGGCAGCGCCGCGGTCTTGGGCGCGTCGTCGGCCGCCGGCTTCGGGAGCGCGGCGGCGGCGGGCGCGCGCTTCAGCATGAGCGCCGGCGCGCGCGTCGCCCGGGCCAGGGTCCGCAGCTCCGCGTAGAACGCGTCGCCGTCGACGAAGTCGGCGTAGTGCTCCACGGGCATCCACGACTTGCCCAGGCTCGCGTCCCACATGACGCTCGGGTCCACGGGCTCGTTGGGGTCCGCCGGCGTGCCCGCGTAGCAGGGCGCGAGGTCCGGCGACCCGAGGAAGCCCTCGTTCATGTCCCGGTAGCGGATCGTGAGGTTCCCGTAGGGGAGGATGAAGCCGACGGCCTCGCCGTCGACCTCGACGTGGGGCGGCTCGAGCTCGTTGTCCACGGTGCACAGCTCCAGCGTGCCCGCCGTGCAGGCGTCCCAGTCGGCCTGGGGCACGAGGAAGACGGACCCCCAGGAGCCGCGCGCGTTTTTCGAGTCCGTGCCGTAGAGCGCGGCCATCATGCGCGCGTTCACCGTGAAGTACTCCGTCGCGTAGTCGGACGAGATGGAGAAGTAGGACAGGTCGTAGTTCTGGAACGTCGTCTCCGACGCGTCGGACGCGTCGAAGACGTAGGGGACCACGAAGCTCACGTAGCCGTAGCGCGTCTCCGACGTGAGCGTGCCCGACTGGGTGTAGAGGTAGGTGTCGGCGCACGTGTCGAGGCCGGAGACGCCGTCGGGCACGGTCACGGACGTGAGGTACTTGGACATGCGGTACGTGTCCGCCTCGCGCCACGGGCTCGACTCCGCGCCGTGCGCCGCGGGGTCGAGCCCGCCGCGGCTCGCGGCGCGCGCCGTCGACCCGCCGCCGTAGGGCGCGTCGCGCTTGGGCAGGTTGCCCGTCGCCGCGCTGTAGGCCGTGATGGACGGGCTGCCCGCGCGGTACGGGTTCTCCACGGCCGCGCCGGCGGAGTCGTACCACGCGTAGTCCTTGTCGAAGATCGTGCCGAAGAACAGGACCGTCGTGTTGCCGTTGTAGTCCACGGAGGAGTCGTCGGGGGCGACGGCGCCGAGCCGGCGGCGCACGTCCGACGCTTTCAGCTTCCGCCGGCGGACGGCGTCGTTCGTGACGTAGAGCTGGATGGACGAGTAGGCGACCTGCATGCCGTCGCCGCCGAACTCCATGCCCGCGATGCCGCTGTAGTCGTCGTCCGCGAAGGACTCGGCGAGCACGTCCTGGTCGAAGTCGTAGTAGACGGCGTACTGGTCGACCATTTCGCCGTCGATCTCGAAGAGCCTACGGCCCCAGGAGCCGTAGTCCGCCGACGAGTAGATGCAGTCCCAGGGGTTCGACTCGAGCGTGCGCGTCGTGCCGTCGTCCATGAGCAGCACGACGCGGTCCGGCGCCTTGGACGCGTCCGCGCTCGGGTACGGGTCGTAGTTGCGGACGTCGATGGACAGCGTGTCCGTGGCCTGGATGGGCGTGTCGAACCAGATCTTGGCGCTGTAGCGCGGCATGGCGTCCGTCTTGTAGGACGACGACGACCGCAGGCTCTCGAGGCCCCGCCGCGGCGCGCCGCCCATGCCGTAGAGCAGGGCCGTCGACGCGACGGCGACGGCGGCGACGGCGGCGCGGCCCGAGCGGCCCCGCCGCCGCAGGGGCTGCCCTTCGAAGAGGGCGCTCCTCTCGGCCATGGGGGCTGCCCGGCCTTCGAAGAGCGGGCCGTCCGCCATCGAAGCACTACACCGTGTGCGAATAGGGCTCTTTTTATGTTGAGCGAAGTTCGAGTGTTTCGGAGGCTTGCCTTTGGAAGCTCTTCACCGTCGGCCAAGTTCCAAGACACAGCCCCGATTACGATGGGCTCGTACGGAGCCGTCGCGCCCGACGCCGGCGCGGCGCCCGTGCCGCGGCGGCTCGTCGCCACCTTAGCGGCGGGCCTCGCGTGCTTCGCGCTCGGCGCCACGCTGCTGAAGCCGGCGAACGCGCCCCTGCTGCGCATCCGCGACGACGAGCTCGACGACGGCATGGTCACGGAGTGCGTCGGCAAGCAGGACGCCGCGGCGCTCATCGAGGCGCTCGGCGCCGAGTTCCTCGGGTGGACGGCGCTCCCCAACCCCGCCGGCGCCGCCGTGCTCATGGACCGGGGCGCCTGGGCGCAGCTCCGCGGCGGGTCGCTCGCGGACTACGACTGGGACTACGGCGAGGCCGTGACCGACTTCCCCTACGACTACAGCGACTACGCGGCGAAGCTCGTCGCCGGCTACGACGCCCTGCTGGCGCGCGGCGCCGTCGCGAGCCCGTCGTTTTCCACGGGCTGCGACCTGACGTACTCGTCGGCGACGTCGTGCTCGGAATCGTGCGTCGAGACGGCCTTCAAGGCCTACGACGGCGGCAGGTACGCCTCGTGCGCCGACCCCGTCGAGGCCGCGTTTTCCCTGACGCCGGACCTCGTCAAGGAGTGCGTCGGCGGCGGCGACTGCTACGACTGCGTCTCGGGCTGCGTCGGCGCCGCGCGCGCGGTCTTCCTCGACTGCGGGGCGCTCGACGCCGACGCGGACCGGGAGCACGACCCCGACGCGCCGACGACGGGGTCGTAAAGGGTTTTTGCGATCGTCCCGGCTCGAGGTAGCTTTTAGAATTGCGCAGGGCGCGGCGCGCCGCGCCGCGCGCCGCGGCACGGATGATGTATTCTTCACCATTACGGCCGCGCAGACAAGCACCCAAACATGCGCCCATCGCTCGAACTTTCGAGCCGCAAGGCTGCCCCGTCGTCAGATCCGGAGCTCGGCGCGCATTACCCAGCGTTGCTGCCTCCGGTCGTCATGAGATCGACCATGGTTCTGCGCGGCGCGGTCCTGGGATTGGTCTGCGCGTCGGCGGCCAAAACGCCGTCGAGCGAGCCGACTTATTCGCCCACGTCGACGCCGGTGCCCAGTCCCGAGCCCACGGCGAGCTACCAGCCGACATCGACGTCTTCGCCGAGCCTGGAGCCGTCGCCGTCTCCGACGTACAATTCCGACGTCCCGACGCTGAGCTCCGGTCCGAGCGCCGCGCCTTCGACGTACGAGCCGACGTCGACGCCCACGGCCGCGCCGTCGCCGTCGCCTTCGACGTACCATCCGACGGCGTCTTGGCCGCCGTCGCCACAGCCCTCGACGTACCATCCGACGACGCGTCCCACTGCTACGCCGACGGCGGCGCCGAGCGTCTCGACGCCGCCGTCGTCCGCGCCGTCGTCCGTTCCCGCGCCCGCGCCGACCGCCTATCCGTTCCCGGCGCCCTCGACGTGGTCGCCGACGATCTCCTACCCACCGACCGTCGCGTCCAAGTCGCCGACGCTGGAGCCCACGCCGATGCCGACGTACACCCCCACGGCCGGAAAGCCGAGCTACATCCCCACGTACCTCCCCACGTACGCGCCCACGGCCTTCGACCCGTCGGCGACGCCGTCGGCGGCGCCCCTGCCCGTCCCCACGTACGCGCCGTCCGCCGCGCCGACCTTCTCGCGGCCGCCGTCGGCGCTGCCCTCGACGCCGCCGTCGCCCGCGCCGTCGCTGGGCCCCACGCTGCTCCCCAGCGTCTACGAGCCGTCGGCGATGCCCTCGCCGCTGCCGTCCTACGCGCCCACGCCCACGGACGTCCCGACGACGTCGCCGCCGACGACGGAGAGCGCGGCGCCGTCGACGACGCCGACGACGGACTACAAGCCGACCGCGGCGCCGCAGACGTCCAGCCCCAGCTACCCGCCGACGGCGTCTCCGACGATCTCCGCCGCGCCGAGCCTCGCCACCGTCTCGCCGTCGTACGCGCCCACGCCGGTCCCGACCGCGGCGCCGACGACGGCCGCGCCGTCGAAGACCGCGCCGCCGAGCTGGTACCACCCGACGTCCGGCCCGACGTACGGCCCGACGAGCGCCGCGCCGACGACGTTCCGCCCGACGTACGCGCCGTCCGCCGCGCCCACGAGCACGCCGAGCGAATCCCACCCGCCCACCTACGCGCCGACGCCGATCCCGTCCTCCGGCGCCCCCTCGACGCGGCCGACCTACGAGCCGAGCCCCGCGCCGACGAGCGTCGACCACACGTACCGCCCGACGCTCTCGCCGACGCCGAGCTTCCTCGAGATCCTCGCCATCGGCGTCGCGGGCACCTGCGTGTCGCTCCAGCCCTGCGACGTGACCTGGCGCACGGTCGGCGTGGCGAACTGCTCCGCGGTCGTCTTCCGGGCGTTCGCGGACGAGGCCGCGACGGACGCGCTCGTCACCGGCGTCGAGGCCAACGACGGCGCGGCGACCTACGCCATCGAGGGCTCGCGCGAGATCGCCGACTACTGGCTCACCGTGTCCTGCGAGGACGACCCGTCGAAGAGCGACGGCGGCTGGGTCGCGGTGAGCTACACGTGGGCGCCGACGCCGGCGCCGTCGCCGCGGCCGTCGCCCGCGCCGACGCGCGCGCCGACGGCCTCGTCGCTGACGGTCCTCTCCGTCGGCACGCTCTTCACCTGCGTGAGCGGCCTCGAGTGCGCCGTCGCGTGGGCCTTCACGGGCGCGCCCGGCGCCTGCGAGGAGGTGCTCGTCGTCGTATCGCGCGACGGCGAGCCGGTGGACTCGAACACGGTGGACAACGCGGGCGGCGGGTCCGTCGTCGTCTCGTCGAACGCCGAGGCCGCGACCTACGCGCTCGACCTGTCCTGCGTCGACTCGGACGTCGCCGCGGAAACCGCGGCCTTCGCCGTGTCCTATTCGCCCGCGCCGACGGCGGCGCCGTCCCGGGAGCCGACGCCGCGGCCGTCGACGGCCGCGCCCTCCGCGGCGCCGACGGCGAGGCCCGCGCCCGCGCCGACGGCCGCGCCCGCGCCCGCGCCGACGCCCGCGCCGTCCGCGCCGAGCGCCGCGCCCGCGGCGGCGCCGACGATCCCCTGCGTCGACTCGCCGAGCTGGTACAAGAACGGCGCGACCTGGAAGGACTGCGCCTGGGTCGCCGACTTTGTGCCCGACCGCTGCGACGTCGTCGGCGCGGACGGCTCGCTCGCGGCCGACGCCTGCCCGGAGGCCTGCGGCTGCCCGACGGACCCGCCGCACCCGACGCCGACGAAGGCGCCGACGTCGACGCCGACCGCGGCGCCGTCCGCGTCGCCCGCGCCGTCCGCGCCCCTCGTCCGCGATTCCCGCGTCTTCCTTTCTTCTTCTCGTCGCACGGCCCGTCGTCCCAGGTCGCGGTGGGCGTCAACGCGAGCATCGTCTTCGAGGACCTCGCCGTCGACGACTTCGACGCGGACGCCTTCGCCGACGCGCTCGTCGAGGTCGTGGACTCTCTCAACTCGCCGGACCAGGTGCTCCGCGCGTCCGCGGCGTCCGCCGCGCGGCGGCGCCTCGACGACGGCGGCGCCGTCGTGTCGTTCACGGTCCTCACGTTCGCGGCCCACGAGGGCGACGCCGCGGCCGCGTTCGACGCGCTCGTCGACGAGCTCGAGGGCGCCGTCGACGCCGGCGGCGCGCTCGAGGCCGCGCTCGAGGGCACGTCGATGGCCGGCGCGACCGTCGACGCGGACGCGTCCAGGGAGCTCCTCGCGTCGTCGTCGACCTACCGCGTCGTCGTCAAGACCGGCGCGAAGCCGCCGCTGCCCGCGCCGCGGCCGACGACCGCGGCGCCGTCGCGGCGGCCGACGGTCGTCCCCGGCCACCCGACGGCGGCGCCCGCGCCCGCGCCGGCGCCCCGGCCGACGCCCGCGCCCGCGAAGGCGACGACGGCGGCCGCCGCCGCCGACGAGGACGACGACGACGGCGGCGCGGACGCCGCGAGCGGCACGGTGATCCTCCTCGTCGTCGTCGGCGCGTTCCTGCTCCTCGGCTTCCTCGCGATGGCCTACCTCCACTTCCGGTCGAGCTCGCCGGACTTCGTGGAGAAGGACGAGGCCGAGAGCCCCGACGTCGACGTCGAGGACCCCATCAGGGCAGCAAAAGAGAGCGAAATTCCCAACTTCAAAGGCTTCGATCTCGGCCATTTTTCACTCGTTTCGGCTGATTTTTGGACGAGCGATCATCTCTCGGAACGGTCTCGAAGCGTGGATGCTTTTTCCGGAACGCGCGCGCGCGGAACACTCACGTTGAAGCGACGTTGAATCACCCTTTTGCTGCCCAGGACCCCATCCTCGAGAAGGAGATCGTCATCGACGACGCGTCGCCGGCGGCGAAGCGGGTGAAGAAGAAGACCAAGTCGAAGCAGCTCAGCCTCGGCGAGGCGCCGGAGGGCTACGAGGACTGGCTCGCGTCGCAGATCGACGGCGACGCGCCCGCGCCCGCGGCGCCCGCGGACGCGGAGGCGCCCGCGGCCGCGGAGGCGGACGCCGCGCCGGAGGCGGCCGCGGCGGCGGAGGCGGCCGAGCCGGAGGCGACCGCCGAGCCGGAGGCGGCCGCGGCTGCCGGGGCGGCCGCGGCGGCGGAGGCGGTCGCTGAGCCAGAGGCGCCCGCGGCCGCGGCCGCGGAGGCGCCCGCGGCCGCGGAGGCGGAGGCGCCCGCGGCGGCGGAGGCGCCCTTCGCGGCCATGGCCTCGGCGCTCGAGGCCGCGCCCGCGGCGCCCGAGGAGCCGGAGGCCGAGGCCGCGCCGGAGCCCGAGGCCGCGCCGGAGGCGGAGGCCGCGCCCGAGCCGGAGGCGCCGCCGGAGCCCGAGCCGGAGGCGGCGTCCGCCGTGCCCGCGGCGGCCGCCGTCGGCGCGGCGGCGGCGGCGGCGGCGGCCGGCGCGCCCGCGGGGCCGCCGCCGTTCCCGGCCGGGCGCGTGGGCCTCGGCTGCGTCGCCCTGGGCGGCGCCAAGTTCGCCGTGGACCGGCGCGGCGGCCACTTCGCGGCGACGCTCTTAGGCGCCGCGGGCGCCGGCGGCGCGCCCGTCGTCGCGCACGCGTGGCTCGAGGACGGCGCCGGCGCGAAGCTGGGCGACTGCGACGTCGAGCGCGACGGCGACGTCTGGACGCTCGTGGCGCCGACCGCGGGCCCCGTCCTCGTGCTCCAGGTCACGGGCGGCGACGCGGCCCGCGTCGCCACGCGCGGCGACGCGGCGCCGACGCGCGGCGGCATCCTCGCGCCGCTCCACGTGAGCGGCGACGACGCGGGCTACCTCGAGATGAAGCTCGCGGGCGACGGGGCCATCGAGGCCTGGCTCACGGGGCCGGACCACGCGCCCCTGAACATCGCGGCGACGGCCTTCGTCGCCGTCAAGGTCCCCAAGTTCGGGCGGGCCGTGAAGCTCGCGCCGCGCGACCTCGAGGCCAACGCCGACGGGAGCGGCGCGGCGCGCCTCCGCGACGGGAAGACGGACTACTTCGTCTTCCCCGGGGCCACGGGCGCCGACGCGGCCTGGCTCGCCGGCGACGGCTGGACCGCGGCCGTCGAGGTCCGCGCGCGCGACGACGGCCGCGTGCTCGAGGCCGACGCGTTCGTCCTCGAGCCCCTCCCCTGATGATCGACCCCCGCTCCTCCCTGCATGTATAACCCGCGCGCGCGCCTAGCAGATCGTGCAGAAGCCGGACATGGGCAGGAGCCGGGCCTTCTTCTTCCGGAAGCGCCGCTTCTTCGCGTCGGGCCGCGAGAACCAGTCCGGGCGCATGAAGGACAGGACCTCGTGCCAGGCGCAGGTCGGCAGGGCCCGGTGCGCCTGCGACGGGGCGCGCGCCGTCGGGAAAGGAACGATGCGCGAACTGGGCGCCGCGCGGCGACGAGCAGCAGGAACGCGGCGGCCTTGAACTCGTCGGGGTAGTCGCGGTGCGTCTTCGGCGTCCACACTTCGAGGCGGAACGTGAGCCGGTGCTCGCGGCGCTCGCCGGGCCGGCCCGACGGCCCCCGCGGGAGCACGAGGGGCGAGAACTTGACGGAGATGAGGCGCTCGCTCCGGTACCTGGGGGGTGGGATCCGCGCCTCGTCGCCCGCGCGCCGCGCGTCGCGAACGCCCGTCGGGCGCCGGCCCGCGTGCGCGGTCGCGTCGACGCGCGTGATCTTCAGGAGCTCGTTCTCGAAGGGCCCGACGAGGGACCCGCCGACGCGGAGCAGGCCCACGAGGTGGCGCCTGAAGAGAAGGCGCGTTCGCGGGAAACGAGACGCGGGGCCCGGGGAGCCCGCTTCGCGCCGTCGTCCGCGACGCCCGCGCCGACGTAGACGCGGTCGTAGGCGCCCGGCGCGTCGAGGCGCAGGGCGTTGCCCCGCAGGAACTCGGCCGGCAGCGGCGCGCCCTTGGCCGCGTAGGTCCGGTTCGCGCCGCGCGCGAACGCGACCAATTCTTCCCGCGCCTCGACGCCGTGGTTGCCGCCGCCGCCGCCGCCGAGGAGCACGCCCGCCTAGGAAGCGCGCCATCGTGTTCCCGGTCGAAAGCCACGGGACGCCGACGCCCGCGATGGTGCTGAGGTAGCCCGTGCCGGAGCCGACGTGGAGGAAGCGGTGGCCCCGCCGCAGGGCCAACGCCTCGAGCGCGACGCCGTAGATGAACGGGGCGGACAGGTGGAAGTTGCCCACGCGCAGCGGGGCGTTGGCGTAGGCCCGCGACCGGTGGCCGTGGGGGACGAAGTCGCCGCGGTCCACGGCGCTGAAGGCGTCGATGACCTGGGGGATTTTGGGGCTGGGTGCCCCGGTTCTGGGGCTGGCGTCGTACCTCCTGCGACACGAGGACGCGCTGGTCCACGAGGGCCTCGACGAGCGCCTCGTGCGACGACATGCCCGCCGGCGCGAGGGCGCGCGACGTCGCCTCGGGATTTGTTCTTGGGTGGGCAATGCTCGGCGGGCAGCTCGAGTACGAACGAACGCACCCGCGATATTGAAGGTGTTTGAGGTCGGCATTGAATTAGCTTGCCCCTGGTTCCGGGCGAGATGGCTGCGCCAAGGTGCAGTTCCGCGGGCTCGTCGACATCGAGCCGCCCGTGTCTCGCGCGGGGCGTGGCGCTCTGCTTCCTCGGCTGGGCCGCGTCCACCGGCGCGCTGGCGCTGTCGACGAAAACCCCGGTGAAGAAGGCGCCCCGCCCGCCGGGCACGAACGTCCTCCGGCGGAAGAACCCGGACCTCTTCGACGCGGCGTCCCCCGACGCGACGCCCGCCGCGGCCCTGCGCAAGCCGGAAGTCATGGCGCCCGCCGGCGGCTGGCCCCAGCTCCGCGCCGCCGTCGCCAACGGCGCCGACGCGGTCTACTTCGGCCTGTCGACGCACAGCGCGCGCGCGCGGGCGACGAACTTCGACGAGGGCGCCGAGCTCGACGACGTCGTCGCGTACTTGAGACACCACGAGGTCAAGGGCTACGTCGCGCTGAACACGCTCGCGTTCGACGACGAGTTCGACGCCGTGGAGGCGCTGATCCGGCGCTGCGATGCCGCGGGCGTCGACGCGATCATCGTCCAGGACCTCGGGGTCATGGCTTTGGCGAAAGCCGTCGCGCCGGGCCTGCCCGTGCACGCGTCGACGCAGCAGTCCATCGCGTCGGCCGACGGCGCGGAGTTCGCGCGGGCCCGCGGCGCGACGCGGGTTGTGGTTGGAAGAGAACTTTCCACGGCGGAGATCGCGGCCGTCGTCGCGCACACGGCGGCCGAGGTCGAGTGCTTCGTCCACGGCGCGCTCTGCGTGTCCTGGTCCGGTCAGTGCCTGAGCTCCGAGGCCTGGGGCGGCCGGTCCGCGAACCGCGGCCAGTGCGCGCAGGCCTGCCGTTTACCGTACGAGGTGCTCGTCGACGGCGCGGGCGACCAGGCCGACGGCGCGGCGACGCTGAACTACGCTCTAAGCCCCCAGGACCTCTGCGGCCTCGAGGACGTCGAGGCACTCACAAAAGCCGGCGTCCACTGCCTGAAGATTGAGGGACGGCTCAAGGACGAGCGCTACGTCGCGGCGACGACGCGCGCGTACCGGGAAGCGGTGGACGCCGCGTGGGCGAAGCTGCGCGGCGACGACGCGGACGCGACACCGACGGTCTCGCGGAGCGACCTCGCCCAGGTCTTCAGCCGGGGCCAGAGCGGCGACGTCGACGGTCTGAGCGCGGGCTTCCTCCGGGGCCCGCGGCACCAGAGTTTAGTGGTAGGAAACGCGCCGCGCCACCGCGGCGTCTACGTCGGCGAGGTGCTGAGCGTCGCGCCCGCGACGAAGAAGCAGGGGCTCACGCTGCGCGTCCGCTCCGAGCTCGAAGATCTGAAGCGCGGCGACGGCGTCGTGATCGACGGCGGCGCGGACCACGCGCGTGACGAGGTCGGCGGCGCCTTGTACGACGTGAAACAGGTCGCAGGCGGCTTCGACGTGACCTTCGCCAAGGCCGTCGCCGCCAGGCCCTGGGTCCGCGCGGGCGCGCGCGTCTGGCGCACCGCGGACGCCGCCGTCGACGCGAAGCTCCGGGGCCTCGCGTCGTCGAAACCTCTGAGGAGGACGGAGGTCGACGTGCGCGTCTCCGTCGACGGCGGCGAGCTCGTCGTGGAGATCGACGACGGCGTTCGCGTCGGCGCCGCGAAAACGCCGGTCGTTCCGGCACAAGACCGGCCGCTCGACGAAGCGAGCGTCGCCAAGGCTCTGGGCCAGCTCGGGGACACGCCCTGGGCGCCGGCGTCCGTCGACATCAACCTCGGTGGCGGCGCCTGGTGGTGCCGCGCGGCCGACGTCAAGGACGCGCGGCGCCGCGCCGTCGAGTCGCTCCGGGCGCTCCGGGCGCCGGCGCGCGCGTCGGCGCGCGCGCCGCCGGGCGCGGCGCGCGCGCTCCTCGAGCGGGGCGACGGCTCGCTCCTCGACGACGGCTTCGACGAGTCGCTCCTCGAGTTCAAGGTCGGCGTCGCCGTCCTCGTGCGCGACCTCGACCAGTGCGCGGCCGCCGTCGACTACGCTCTAACGACGCCGCCGTCCGACGACTTCGCCGTCGACGAGGTCGTGCTCGACTTCCTCGAGCTCAAGGGTTTGCGGGAGGCCGTCGCGGCGATCCGGGAGCGCGCGCCGGGCCTCAACGTCGTCGTCGCGGCCCCGCGGATCTCGCTCCCGGGCGAGGACGGCGCTTTGGAGAAGCTCTTGGCGCTCGGCCCCGACGCGCTTTTAGCGAGGTCCCCGGGCCAGCTCCGCTACTTCGCCGGCCGCGACGTCGAGCTCCGGGGCGACTTCTCGCTCAACGCGGCCAACGCGCTCACGGCGAACGACCTCTTCGACGACGCCGCGGCTTTAACGCGCCTCACGCCCGCGCACGACCTCGGCGGCGCGGCCGTCGCGCGCCTCGCGCGGCGCCTCACGCCGTCGCGCCGGGCGAAGCTCGAGGCCGTCGCGCACCAGCACCTGCCCATCTTCCACGCGAGCCACTGCCTCTACGCGCGGCACCTGTCCAAGGGCGACTCGTTCGAGAACTGCGGCCACGTCTGCGAGCGGCACACGATCCACCTGCGGGACGAGGCCGGCGCGGACCACGTCGTGCTCGCGGACATGGGCTGCCGGAACACGGTGTTCAACGCCCAGGCCCAGTCCGCGGCGGACGCGCTGGGATCGTGGCTCGACGCGGGCATCTCGAGGTACCGCGTCGAGTTCGTCGACGAGTCGCCGGCCGCCGTCGCCGCCGTCCTCGGCGCCTACCGCGACCTCTTTCTGAGCCGCGGCGAGCTGCCGGAGCCGCTCTGGAGCCTGCTCGCCGACGTGCCGGACGCGAACGGCGCGCCGCAGGGCGCGGGCGTCGGCTCGCTCAAGGACGGCGAGCGCAAGTCCGGCAAGGCGCGCAAGACGACGGGCCAGCACCGGGCCCACTACAAGTAACCCGTATTCGACCGCGGTCTCTAGATTGCGACGTTACGGTAGATCCGACCGCGCGCGCGCGCGCGCGCGTACAGCCTCCGGGTCCGGGAGGGGCTCGCCGCGGCGGGTCGCGTCCCCGAGCGCAAACATTTGCGCCTCGAGGTCGGCGAACGTCATCTGGTGTTTCTCGTCGCCGAAGGTCTCATTCATGTACGCCAAGGTCTTCTGCATAGCCACGTCGTACGCTACGCGGCTGCGCTTGACCTTCGCGCGGTCGCTTTCCGCGAGCTCCTCGAGAGCTTCGCGCATCGCCCGCCCGTAGTCGTCCACGCTCGCGTGTCGCCATCCGGTCTCCGATTCGGGGGGGGGGTGCTGTCGCGCCGGCGCGGCAGCGTCGAGCTTGTCGAGAAGCGTCAAGACATACAGCGCGCCGCTGAGATCGGGGTTCTGATGAAAGCTCTCGTACTGCATCTGCATCTCGCTACAATACATCACGCGCTCCGACACTTCAGCATGCTGTGTATCACTCATTCGCTCATCCTTGCGCTTGATGGCTTGCTCGCGTAAGCCACGTTTATTCATCATGGTCGTGTGTTCGCTGATGAGCCAATCGCTGCCATCCTCCTTCTCGAGCTGACAGCCGCCGCCCGTCTGTCTGAGAATCGCCGCCACGCTATCGCGCACCATCTCCTCCGTCAGCGCGCCCTTCATCGCTGCGCTCACGATGAAAGGATCATCCGTAACAAGCGCCAGTGCGCGCCGGAACGCGTCCGAAATTTGCCCGATCTTCGGTGAGCCAGCCAAGGCCTCATTCAACATGGCCGCTGTTTTTCTGAACATTTCGCCAGGCCACCAATCGTCGTCCGTCTGTCTGAGAATCGCTGACACGCTATCGCGCAGCATCGCCGTCGTCAGCGCCCCCTTTTTCGCCGCGCTCACGACCATATCGCTTTCCATGGCGAGCCGCACCGCCACCGATACGGTCGACTCCGTCGCTGGCACCGGCTCGGCGGGCGAGTGGTTCCGAATCAGGAACGCGGTGAAGGCGAAGTGGACGACTTCTTGACTCTCCGCATCCAGCAGGTTCGACTCTTCGTCGAGTCCCAGCGTCTCCATGAGCCCCCGTTGAAAGCTGTTGACGAGATCGATCATGAGCTTCCCGTTTTCGTTGAGGGAGTTCGAATCGATGACGTTCTCCCGCAACAATCTCTGGATGTTCGGGTTGCTCTCCAGGACCGCCTCCGCTGCGCGCTTCACCGACTGCACGTCTCGGGCCCGATCCTGCTCCTCCTTTATCGACTCGCGAAAGCTTGGCACGGCTGGGCTGGAAGAGCGCGCTTGTTCCACCCCTTCTTTAAATTTAAGCTCGGCGGCCGGCCGACCGAGTTTTTTAACAACTGCTTCGAAGTTCGGAAGAGTCTCGGGCATGAACTTGTCGATCATTTCCGCTGCGACGCCCGCGTCCTCCATTGTGCGACGGAGGAAAGACTCGACGCTCATGTCTCAGCCGCCTCAATTATGCCAAAAGCTCGCATCCCATGCTGGCAGCCCGATATGACGAGGCAAGTTGAACTTCATATTGCAGCCCTCAAAACACTCGCAGCCATCTCTCGCAGCCATCGTCGCACTCCGTGGTGCAAGGCGCAGCGCAAGCATTGCGCAGCCATGCGAGCCGTGCCACTGCTGCCGCTGCTGTGCTTCGCCTGGGCGCCGCCGCGCCGCCGCTGCGTCGTCGCGCCGGCGCGCCGCGGCGCCGTCATGCTGGGCGCGGCGCCGCCCGCGGCGACGCCGCCCGAGCGCCGCGGCGTCGTCGCGCGGCTGCGCGTCGCCGGCCTGTTCCTGCGCTACTACGCGAGCCCCGTCGCGCTCGCGGCGCTGAGCGTCGCGCTGGCGCCGCGGGCCCGCGCGGCGCGGCGCGGCGCGGGCGCGGCGCCGCGCGACGCGGCGCTCGCGCTCTGGCGCGGGTCCAAGGGCGGCGGCGGCAAGGTCGAGGCGCGCTGCGCCTACTTCCTCGACGCCCTGGGCCCCTGGCGCCGCGTGCGGACGTTCCGGAGTCTGGCCTTCGACCGCGCGCAGCGCGAGCCCGGCGCGGCGCCCTACTCCTACGCGGCCTTCCACGTCGCCTGCGCGGCCTGCCTCGCGGCGCCGGAGGCTACGCGCGAGGTGCCCGCGGCGGCGGCCGCCGACGCGTTCCGCGACGCGACGCCCGTCATGTGCGCGGCGCTCCAAGACGCGCCCGGGAACATGGCCGGCGAGGGCAAGCTGCTGAACATCTACCACACGTTGCAGCGCGCGCTGGATCTGGACGTCGCCGGCGACGTCGTCGAGCTCGGCTGCCACGCGGGCACGACGGCGTCGATGCTCGCCTGCGTGCTGCGGCGCCGCGCGCCGGGGAAGCGGCTCCACCTCTACGACTCCTTCGAGGGGCTCCCCGCGGGCGACGCCGGCAGCGGCGACCCGCCGGCCTACGGCGCGCGCCGCGGGTCCATGCGGGCGTCCGTGGCGGCGGTCGCGGAGAACTTCGCGCGCGCGGGGCTGCCGCCGCCGGGCGACGTCCACGTCGGCTGGTTCTCCGAGACGACGACGAGCGACGCGTCGGGCGAGAACCCGCGCGAGATCGCGTTCGCGCACCTCGACGGCGACCTCTACGGGTCCATCCTCGAGTCGCTCGCCTTCGTCTACCCGCGGCTCGCGCGCGGCGCGCTCGTCGTCGTCGACGACTACTGCGACCCGGCGATCCTCCACCGCCACGACATCTTCCCGGGCGCGTACCGCGCGTGCGCGGACTTCTTCGCGGACAAGCCCGAGTCCATGGTCGTGTTGCCGGCGCCCCACCCGGGCTACGCCTTCCCGATGCAGTACGAGTGCCACGCGTACTTCCAGAAGCTCTGATTAACGTTAACTTGCCGTAAAGGTGACCATTCAAAAAACGCATCGAGCATGGGCTGGTAGGCTGCCCACATCGCAGGCCGCCGCGACTTCGGTGGGAGGCCGTCGCGCAACGACTGCGACGATGAGAATTTCTCGCGCTACGTCGTGCTGGCCTGCGCGCGCTGCGGCTCGACGTGGCTCGACCAGCTCATCGCGTCGCACCCCTGCGCCATCAGCCAGCACGAGAATCTGGCGATCAAGGACAACGCCGTCGTCGGCGCCGGCGCGTCCCCGGACGAGTGGCGCGCCGCGCAGGACGCGGCCTTCGCGAAGATCGAGGCCGAGGCGCGCGCCATCCGGCACAAGCGGCAGGCGTTCGCCGGCTGCGACCGCGTCTTCGTCGGCGGCAAATTGCCCTACGAGAAGCTCTACGCCATCCCCGACTGCTCGGGCCGGGACAAACCCTGCTTCTGGGACACGCGCGAAAACGGCGCCGTCGCGCGCGTCCCCGGGGAAACGACGCGCCCCCCCGCAGCATGGTCGAGATGCTGTCGCCGGCCGCGTCGCCGGCCGCGGCGCCCGCGAAGCTCGTGCTCCTTTTAAGGTCCAACTACTTCGACCGCTACCTCTCGCACATCATTGAAAAGGGCGCCTTCGGCGCGCGCCACGGCTGCCGGGTCGGCGACGCGGCGCCGTGTTTAAAACAAAACTCGACGACGCTCGCCGCGTCGACGCGCCGCGAGAAGCTCGCGCTCGTCGCGGCGGTCCGCCGGTTCCAGCGGGCCTACGAGGACCTGCGGGCGACGATCTTCGCCGCGGCCGAAAAGACGAAGACGCACCTCGCCTTCGTGACCTACGAGGACATGCTCCGCGACGAGAAAATCGTCGAGCGGCAACTCCTGCCGTTCCTCGGCCTCCCGCCGGCGCCCCTCTACTCGCCCACGCTGAAGCGGAGCGGCGAGCTCGCGAAGCGCGACATGATCGACAACTACGACGACGTGCGCGGCGCGCTCGAGCTCGGCGGGATGAAGGACCTCGACCTCCTCGCCGACGAGGCCGCGCGGGACGTCGAGCCGCGCGTCGTCCGGCTAAACTGCTACTAAATCAAAATTTAATATAAATTATCCTAGATCCGCCCGACGGGGCGACGCGCTACTTCCGTGCCTCTTTGTCTTGAGTGGGACTTCAGGGGGGGTCCTGAGGCAATTTTTTTGCCACTGGCACAGGCGCATCACAATCATTCTCTCTGCCGCCGCCGTCGGCGCTCGTCGTCTTCTCACAGTTGCGACGCGTCGTCACATGCGAGTCCTCGTCGCCGTCCTCGCGACGGCCGTCCTCGGCGATAACTATCACGACGAGATGGCGCGGGTCCAAACCCGGCGCCGCCGGCACCAGGAGGCCCAGGACTTTTGCCTCGACGGCGGGCGCCGGCTCCTCGCGGCGTACGAGCGCGACCACTGGAGCGCCGGCAACGGCGGCGACGAGGAGATCGGCTGGCCGCCGCTGCTCCTCGCCGGCATCGAGCACTGCGGCGCGGCGGCCGTCGCGCGCGAGGCGACGCGGGGCGGCGGGGGCGCCGAGGGGTGCCATCGCGAGACGATGGAGTGGATCGAGATGAACGTCGCGGCGATGTACCACAACATGGCCGTGTCGGCCTTTTACGCGCTCGAGCTCGAGCACGAAAACCGCCACGCGGGCGCGACGGACGTGCCGCCCCTCGCCGCCGAGCGGGAGGAGATCGACGAGGTGGCGCAGTACGTGGCGAGCGCCGACGCGTTCTTCGACGTCGCGGGTACGTGCGACGAGCGGAACCGCGACGTCATCGCGGCGAACCGGGAGCGGCACGAGGCGCTGCGGCCGCGCGTCGCGAACCTCGCGGTCGAGATCCGCGACGAGCTCGCCGCGGAGCGGACGCGCCTGACGACGCCCGAGGGGCACGCGGAGATCCAGGGCGAGTGCCCCTGGCAGATCTACGCCATCGCCGAGGCGGCCGAGGAGAAGCTCTACCCGGACGTGCGATCGCACGTGCCCCTCCGCACGCTGGAGGACAACCTCGAGTCGCTCTTCCCCCACCACAAGCACCGGAAGCGCGGCGCGACGTAATCAGCCGACGAGGTCCATGGTCGCCACGTAGACGGAGAACGCGAGCGCGTTGGGCGGGACCGCGCGCAGCGCGGCGACGCGGACGTGCCTCGCGAGGCGCGCGCGGTCGCGCGCGAGCCCCATGACCACCGCGCGCGCGGGCGCGGGCGGCGTGTCCGAGGCGCGGAGCGCGGCCTCGAGCTCGTTCGCGCGGACGCGCGCGAGGTGCGCCGCGGGCGCCGCGAGCGCCGCGCCCGCGGCGCCCGCGGCGGCGCCGCCGACGGCGACGGCCGCGCGCCGCGGCGCGCCCGCCGCGAGCGCGCGGTCCTCGACGTCGTGGAAGACGGCGTAGTAGGGCAGGAAGAAAAAGAACTCGCGGCACGCGACCGCGCGCGCCGCCGCCCAGGGCGCGGCCGGCCCCCCGCGCCGCAGCACCGCCGCGGGCGACAGCAGCGGCGCGCCGTGCCAGGCCAGCGTCGCGCGCGCCGCGAGGCGCTCGACGGGGGACGCGGGCAGCGCCGCCGGCGACAGCTGGAGCCGCGCGGCGACGAGCTCCAGCGGCGCGACGAGCGGCGCGACGGCGCATCCCGTCAGCGCGCCCGCGCAGGCCCGCGACGCGCGGTCGCCGAGCGCTTTGAGCCGCGCCTGGAGGACGCCGTAGGCGGCGAAGGCGACGCCGCCGACGGCCGAGCTCGCGACGACGGGCACCAGGCCGCCGCGCCAGAGCGCGAGCGGGCCCTCGCGCCGCGCGAGCTCCTTCGCGGCGCCGACGTAGTCCGCGCGCGCGGCCGCGCCCGCGCCGGCGACGGCGCCCGCGCGCCACGTCAGCAGCAGGCCCGTCTCGTGGCGCGCGTGCGCTATCGCCGTGCCGAGCGGGTGCGCGTAGAGGAGCTCCGCGGCGGCGCCGGCGACCCAGCCGCCGGCGAACAAGGCGGCGACGGACGCGCCGCCGTGCGTTTCAGTCGTCGTTTGGCGCCGGAGCGGCGCGGTCGCTTTTGTCGCCGGCGTCGCGGGAGCGGTGGTTTGGAGTGGCGTAGTTGTTCGTTGCGGCGCCGCCGGCGTCGCGGGAGCGGTCGTTTGGAGCGGCGACGCCGGCGTCGCGGCCGCTGGCGAGGCGCCAGTCGCCGCGGCCGTCGTCGCGCGGCGCTTCAGCGGCGCATCGCGCGGCTTCGCGAGCGGCGCATCAGTGGTTGCGCTGTGCTGCGGCACGTCGTCGCAGGGCTTCGATGCCAGAGGCGCCATGCCCCCCGACCTGGTTTGCCCCCGTTGGACTAGTTATTGAAGGGGGTGCGCACCCGAAGATCCCGCCCGGAGGCTCAGACGGAGGCGTAGCCGGGGGGTTGGCGTTCCCACACCGGCCCCTTCCTCCGACCCAAAGATCGCGCGTGCCCCCGTTGAAGTCAAGTTGCAGTGAGGCCCGGCACCTCAGATGAGTACGCCCGCGGGGTGCGAGGCCGCCTCATTTCGTTCGCCTCCACTTGAAGCAAGTTGCAGCGATCGAATGATTAGTGCATCTGGATGCCCATGGCCGGCGCGACGGTCGTCGCGGCGTGGACGGCGAGGGCGCGGTAGGCGCGGACGATCTGGTCCCAGACCGGCGGGATGAGCCGCGCGCGCGCGCCGTCGTCGTCCGTGGACGTGAGCTCGGCGACGGTGCGCTCGAGGTCGTGCCAGGCCGCGTGGTCCAGGGACTGGGGCACGAGGGCGCCGCTCTCGACGGCCGGGAAGAGCACGGGCGGGTCCGGGTGGCGGAACTCGGTCTCGTGGAGCTCCGCGAGGTCGTCGAGGTCGACCCAGCACGCGCCGACGCTGTGGAAGTCCGGGCAGGACTTGGGGCAGGTCACGGCCGGGTCGTCGCAGCCCGCCGCGGGCTCCGCGTACAAGATCGCCCGCACGGTCTTCTTCTCCGTGGGCTCGAGCATGACGCGGAGGAGGCCCTTGGGCTCGACGGTCACGTGCGTGTCGCGAGCGCAGCACCTAACCGCCGCTTCCACGAGCGTCTCGCCCGGGTCGACCTTGCCCGCGGGGAGCCAGTAGCAGGGCTTGCCGCCGCAGCCCGGCGTCGCCGCGGACTCGAGGACCATGAGGTACTTGCCGTCGGACGGCCGCCGGACGACGAGCCACGCGTAGGCGACGTAGGGGCTCCGGAAGTCGACGGCGGCCGCGTCGGCCATGAACTGGGACTTGAGGTTCTTCTTCGACTTCGTCGACGTCGCGGCCGTCGACGCCATGGCGCCGTGGAGCTCGCGCTTGGAGATGAAGCCGTCGCCGTCCGCGTCCGCGTTCTCGGGCTGGTGCTTCGCGCACAGGTGCTTCGCGAAGGACTCGAAGCCGTGGCCCCGGCGGCAGACGCGCTGGCAGATGGGGCACTGGCCGTCGCCGCCGGGCTCGGCGACGTGGCAGAGCGAGTAGTGGCCGAAGAGCTGCGCGTGCGTCATGCCGCCGTGGCCTGGGCAGCAAAAGGGTGATTCAATGTCGCTTCAACGTGAGTGTTCCGCGCGCGCGCGTTCCAAAAAAAGCATCCACGCTTCGAGGCCGTTCCGAGAGATGATCGCTCGTCCAAAAATCAGCCGAAACGAGTGGAAAACGGCCTGAGCCTTTGAAGTTGGGAATTTTGCTCTCTTTTGCTGCCCCGGCCGTGGCCGCACGTCGGGCAGCGGACCATGGCCCGCTTCGCCGTCTGCCCGGGGGTTTTGACGGATGTTAACCGTAACAATTCGAGGGCGTGCTTGCAGTCGTCGTCGCTCGGCGTGACCATGCGCGCGCCCGCGCCGAACGCGTCGAGCGTGAGCCGCGGCGACGCGGCGACCGTTTCCGAGATCACGAGCACGAAGACGCGCTTCAACCGCTCGTCGTAGGGCGCGTGGGGCCGCTGGACCATGCGCAGCAGCGGCCAGGACATCTCCGCCTGGTCGATGGCGCCGTCGCCGTCCTCGTCGAAGACGTCGACGAGGATCGCCGCGGGGAGGCCCTCGCGCGAGTTCGGCGCGAGGATCGCCGCGAGCTCGTCGAGCGCCGACTCCGACGTCGCGTGGACGCGCGCGGCGAAGCCCGCGGCGGCGGCGAGCTGCGCGAGCTCCTGCTGCCGCTCCGGCGACGCGGACCGCACGAAGACGTAGGCGTGCTGCGCGGGCACCGTCGCGGGCCGCGGCCGCGACGCCGTCATGGCCGCGCCGTCCGCGCCGGGCAGCACCTTCTGCGACTGCGACCCGCGCAGGCCGCCGTTGCGCAGGGCCCGCATGCTGGCGGAAGGAGGCAAGAACGACGACGCGCGCGTCGGGGCTGCCCTCCGCCCCGGTCCTGGCGCTGTGGGGAAGTAAGCATCGGCGGCGACGCCAACCTCAATCACGTTGCTTGCCAGAACATCAGCACGAGTTCGGCGTGTTCTCGACGTCCAGTTCGGCGTCGTACGCTGCGCCTCGACGTACACAAGACCACAAGCCATGCTCCTCCGCGCCCTCCGCGCCCCCGTGGCGCGCGCGCACGCCCCGGCGGTATTCCGCGCCCGCGCGCGACCCCTGAGCGCGCTCCGCGTGCCCGCCTTCCTCAACGACGCGCGCATCGAACTCTACGAGGACTCGATCCTGCTGCGCGCCGTGAGCAGCCTGACGCCGCTGGGCAACGGGCGCATCCTCGTCAAGCCCTACGACCCGGCCCTGACCCAGCGCATCCGCGAGACGCTCAACGACGCGCTCGCGACGACGGGTCTGAAGGCGTTCTGGGACGCGCGCGCGGCGAACCTCGTCGTCGTGCCCAAGGCCTACCGCACGGACAGCAAGGCCGCGCGCGCGAAGCAGGCGAGGGCCGTGACCCTCGACGCCGACCTCGAGGGCGACGCGAACCTCGACGCGCTCGAGCTCCTCGCGCGCGCCAGGGAGGCGCCGCTCTTCGTCGACGTCGGCCGGCGGTCGTCGCGGCCGCGCGCGCGGGCGAACAAGTTCGAGTCGCGCGCGCGCCAATTGGAGGAGGAGGCCGACGACGTCCGCGCGGACACGCACCGCGCGCTCCGCGTCGCGCGCCGCGTCGCGAGCGGCAACAAGAAGGTCCTCCGCCAGCTCGCGAAGGACGCGTGCGCGCTCTAGGGGCCGGCGGCCGCCTGTACATGCGAAGTCTCTCTACGTGAGGTAGGTCCGGAGGTCCGCGGAGCAGTAGGGGCTCTCGAAGCGGGCGACGGCGACGTTGTGCGTCGACGTGTCCGCCTCGCCCTTGGACCGGGCCTTGGCCGGGGAGATGTACTTGATCTCCTCGAGGGGCCCGCCCTCCGTGGCCTGGACGAGGCACGTGTCGACGTCGACCTTGAGGCGCTGCTTCGGGTCCGGGATGTGGCGGCTGAGGTAGGCCTCGAGGTTCTCGGACGCGGCCGCGTCCGCCGTGCCCGTCTCGATGCCCCCGAACGTCACGCGGCCCTCGTAGATCGTGTGGTGCTGGTACGTGAAGTCCGTGTAGCGCTTGCGCTTCGCCAGGGGCAGGAAGAGCTTGATGGCCGCGGTCTGGAAGATGAGGTCGTTGCAGCGCCGCGTGAAGATCAAATTCGACCGGTCGAAGGCCGCGATCATGCGGCGCACCGCGGGCTCGTCGAGCCACCAGTCGATCTTCGTGACGAACCAGTTGTTGTAGTAGCCCAGCCGCCCGGGCCCGTTGCAGTACCAGTTCGCGGGCCGCTTCGAGCCGTAGAGCGCCATCGCCTCGTTCTTGGACACGGCCGACTCGACGTCGCGCTGGAGCTCGAGGCCGCCGGGCGCGTCGCCGGCGCCGAGGTTCGCCTTGCGCAGCGCCGCGCTCAGCGCCTCGCGCATGGACGCCTTGCGGCAGTGGCGCGGCCACGTGCCGCAGAACTTGATGACGTGCTTCGACTCCTCGTCGAGCTCCTCGATGCCCTCCGCGCGGCGCCGCGGCGCCGTCGCGTTGCGCAGTGCCAGGAGTCTTCGCCGCCGCTTCGGCGCGTCGCCGACGACGCGCGCGTCGCTGTGGGCCGCGAAGCCCTCGACGAAGTCGCCGAAGATCGTCGGGCACTCCCTGGAGACGACGCGGTAGCCGTAGAGCAGGCCCGCGTCGCGCATGTCGTCGAAGACGTTGTAGGCCACGGGCGAGAGGACGAAGGAGTCGTCGTCCATGCGCATGACCCACTCGTAGCCCAGGCGCCGCAGCGTGCGCCAGATCGTGACCGCGTAGAAGCGGATCATGTAGCGGTAGCCCGCGGAGAACTTGTTCTCCGGCATGACGGGCAGCCAGGGCGGGCTGCCCCAGCCCGTCTCCTCCGTGAGGAGGCAGAAGCGCACGTTCGCCGCGCCGTCGAGGGCCGTGGCGTCGGCCGGCTCGAGGTCGCCCTCGTGCCAGACGATGACGTCCGCGTCCGCGATCTTCAGCATGTTGTGGCGCAGCGACTCCATGGACGCGTTGAGCGTGTTCTTGTGCGTCGCGTCGTAGCTGCTGTGCGTCTTCTGCCCGAGGTAGACGATGACGTCCCGGCTCCGGCGCACCGACGTGCAGTAGCGCGACGACAGCGACGCCTCGTCGCTCCCGTCGCCGCGCTGCGCGCGCTGCCGCTCCTGCTGCCGCTCGAGCCGCTGCTGCTGCCGCTGCTGCCGCTCGAGCCGGCCGTCGCGCGACGACGCGCAGGCGGGGGCGCAGGCCGCCAGGAGCCAGGCCAGGGCCAGGCAGCCCATCATGCCTGAAAAAAAATACGCGCGCCCGGAGCCGTGGGTGCAAGGTGACGAGCACGTACATGTGCAACTTAGGCGTAGGCGACCATGTAGAGGGTCTCCGCAGCGCGGGTCCAGTCGGAGACGTCGACCTCCGGGTCGAAGCGCCGCCGTTCGCAGCGCGCGAAGCCCGCGTCCCGCAGGGCGGCCGCGAGCTTGCGCTCGTCGTAGGCGTCCTCGTGGTTCATGTCGTCGCCGCGCGGGAAGCGCGTCGGGTGGACCTGGAGGAAGAGGAGGGCGAGGCGGTGCACGGCGTGGGGGCTCCCGAAGAAGGCCTCCGCGTCCCAGAACGCGTAGAACGCGCCGAGGTCGAGCATCCGGGCGACGAGCCGCGGCCACCGGGGGAAGAGTCGCGCGTAGACCGCGGCGCGCGCGCGCGCGAGGGCCCGCCGGAGCCGCGACGGCGGCCCCGGCCGCGCGCGGTAGAAGGCGACGTGCCGCGCCGCGTCCGGGACCGCGACGCGGAGCTCGCCGCCGGGCCGGAGCGCGCGCCGGCAGTCGCGGAGGTGCGCCGCGGCGTCGCGCGGCGCGAGGTGCTCGAGGAAGTGCTCCGACGCCACGGCGGCGCAGGACCCGTCGGCCAGGGGCGCGAGGCCCTTCCGGAGGTCGAGGTCGTAGCCGCCGGGCCACTCGCCGGACACGTTGAGCCAGCCCTCCCGGCCGCGGTCCGCGCACGCGAGGTTCAGCGACACCGGCGCCGGCGGCGGGTCCGCCGCGAGGCGGCGCCGCGCGCGCGCGTCCGCCTCCATCGCCCGAAGCTCGCCGGACACCTGCGCGCACGCCTCGAGCGACGTCTTCGCGAGCCCGCGCGGGAGACCGCCGCCCGGCCGCCGCAGGAACGCCGCGACGAGCGCGTCGCCATCGTCGTCTCCTTCTTCCTCCTCCTCGTCCTCCTCGTCGTCGTCGTCCTCCGCGCCGCGGCGCCGCGCCTCCAGGACCGCGAAACCGCCGGGGCGCGCGCCGCGCGCGACGACGGAGAAGCCCGCGCGCTCGAGCTCGTGGAGAGCCGCGGCGGCGTCGAGGCAGCCCCGGCGCTCGTAGACGACGGCGCCGATTTCCTCGAGCCCCCCGGCCAGCGCGCCAAAGTCGAGGAGCCGCGCGACGAGCGTCCCGCCCGGCCGCAGGCAGCGCCGCGCGTCCCTCAGGAAGGTCCGGAGCTCGTCGGGGAACCGCAACGCGTCGAAGTCGTCGACGGCGAGCTCGCCCGCGGACCGCGTCGCGAGGGGCAGCCGCCCGTCGACGGCGGGGCCCAGCAGCGCGCCGCGCCCGTCCAGAACGTCCCAGGCCTCGTCGCCGCGCCGCGCGAGCACCGCGGCGCGCGCCGGGACGCGCGGCGCCGGCCGCCGGCTTCGGAGCCGCGCGAGCCGCGCGCACGCGGCGGCGAAGCCGCGCTCGCCGCGGAGCAGCGGGTCGCCGGCGAGCCGCGCGAGGAACGCCTCGGCCTCGGCCTCGCCGAACGGCCTCGCGGAACCGCCCACGGCCTCGGCCTCGCGGCGCAGGAAGTCGTAGGCCGCGCGCACGCGCCGCGCGCCGTCGTCCGGGCCCCGGCCGCGGCGACGCGGCGGCGGCGGCGGCGGCGCGGCGGCCGCGTCGTCCTTGCGGATGCGACGCGGCGGCATGCAGAAGTCATCTGCGGAAGCAGCAGCCCGACGACGGCGCCATCGGCGGGCTGCTCCTCCTTGGTTCAATACGACTTCAACTTGAGGTCACGTAAGTTACGGGGTGCACGTGGCGCGCGTTAAGGCGCGCGCCGCCTCGCTTCGCTTCGCGCTCAGGCGGGCACGGCGGCGGCCGCGGCGCCCTCGATGAGGTCCTGGCCCGCGGCCGTGAGGGCCGTCTCGAGCGTGCCCGCGTCCGGAGACGGCGCCGAACTTGTCCTTCCCTGGAGTAGTTACCCAGAGTCCGAAGCTTCGAAGAGGGCTATGTTAAGTCGCGGGGTGGGAGGGGGGGCATGTGCAAGACCGACGCCCTCAGTCGTCGGCCGCGTCGTCCGCCGCCGCGGGCCTGCGGAGGACGACGCGGGCCTGCTGGAGGTGCCAGACGGGCACGAGGCTCATGACGAGCGTCGCGAGGACGAGGCCGCAGTCCGCGAGTCTTCCGCCGCCGTCGGCGGGGACGCGGCCGCGGAGCGCGCCGCGGAGCGCGGCGCGCGCCGACGGCTCGCCCGCGCCGTCGCCCGGCGCGGCGGCGGCGCCGCCGCGCGCGGCGGCGCGGTCCGCGAGCGCCGCGAGGCCCAGCGCGAGGAGGCCCGTCTGGAAGAGGAAGGCGACGACGGCGGCCCCGGCGAGGAAGCAGGCGCGGCCCAGGCCCGCGTCCTGGCCCAGGAGCGCGACGGCGACGGCGAGCTTGAGCGCGAGCTTGAGGTCGAGCATGAGGACGACGCGGTGGTTCGCGAGGCGCCGCGCGGCGCCGGCGGCGGCGCCGCCGGGCCCCGGCGCCGGGGCCGCGGGCCGGGGCGGCCCCGCGCGGCCCAGGGCCCGGAGCGCGGCCGCGACGTCCGCGAGGTGCGCCGCGTCAAAGTCCGCGCGGATACTCACGCGGCCGTTCGCGGCGGCCTCGGCCGCGACGGCGTCGCCGGGGGCCGGCGGCCGCGCCCAGCCGCCGTTCGCCAACGCCTCGTCGTAGAGCGCCGCCGACGCGTCGTGGTAGCACCGGAGCGACGCGACCGCGGCGCCCGCGTTTTCGGGCAGGTCCGCGGCCGCCGCGGGCCGCGCGGGCCGCGCGGGCCGCGGCGGCGCCGCGCGCGCCGGCGGCGCCGGCGCGGGCCGCGCGCGCGGCGACGGCGCGGGCGACCCGGGCCCGACGACGAGGTGCAACGTTTGGGGCGTCTCGAGGTCCCGGAGCGTGGCCCCCAGCGTCTGCGCGTCGCCGAGGATCCGCCCGCCGTAGATGAGCCGCTGGTCGCCCACGGCCACGCCCAAAGCCTCGCGGACGCGCGCCTTGACGGCGCCCACGGTCTCGTCGACGCCGAGGACGAGCTCCACGGCCGCGTGCTCCCGGTTCGGCACGACGACGACGACGGTCACGCAGGACGCCGCCGCGCGGGCGGCGGCGACGTCGCCGGGGGGGGCGGGCGCGTTGGTCTGGGGGGGCGGGGCCAGCCCGTTGGTCTCGGGTAGTGGCGCTTCCATCCGTCGAGCAACGCGTGGAGGACTCACTCTCGTGAGAGAAGAGCACTTCAAAGGCGTCTTCAACGAGTCGACGTCGCTTTGTTGAAGTTGTTCGAGCTCGAGCCCCGATCACCTCATGACCTTGGGGCGCCGAGTATACGGAACATACGGACTATGCTACGTCGGCATGGAGACCGACCGGCGAGGTGGCGGCGGTCCCCGCCGCGACCTCGGGGCCGTCCCTAGATCCAGCCGTAGGCCTTGCTCGTGGAGACGACGATGTAGACGAGCCAGAGGCAGACGAAGAGCGCGGCCGTCGCGTGCTTGGCCGCGCGGGGCCCGCCGAGCTCCGCGCCGAGGAGCTTGCGCCGGAGCACGAGGACGACGAGCGTCGCGCACGCGCACGCGCTGAAGGTCGTCACGGAGACGCCGAGCGAGCCCGCGGGGACGAGGAAGCCGACGTGGTCCCAGGCGCCGTCCTTGCGCTCGCCGAGCGCGTAGCCCCCGAGGCAGTCGGGCTTGCCGTAGCGCGCGCGCCACTCGTCGCGGCGCGCGTCGGGCGCGTACTTCCAGTAGATGGCCGCGACGGCCCAGGGCAGGCCGAGCCCCAGGAAGACGTTGACGCTGTTGGACCCCGTGACGTTGCCGACGGCCGCGTCCGCGTAGGGGTCCGCCGTCGCCGCCGTCTTCGACGCGAAGGTGTCCGGGAGCGACGTGCCGAGCGCGACGAAGGTGATGGCCGTCACGCTGTCCGCGATGCCGAGGGCCGACCCCAGGAGCGTCGCGACCTCGCCGATGACTAATGTCAGACCGCCGATGTAGACGAGCGCGACGAAGAAGCAGACCCAGCCGCCGCCGTAGCTCGGCGGCGGGATGCAGGCGAAGCAGACCTTCCAGGGCAGCGCCAGGACGTGCATCGCGTAGTCGCCCGGCGTCGGCGCGTCGCCCTCGAGCGCGACGGCGTCCCGGAACTGCGACTTGTAGTCGTTGAGCGCCAGGTTCAGCTTGTCCCGGTTGATGAGGGGGATGAGCAGGCCCGCGAGGCCCCGCCGGTCCGTGTCGTCGATGATGACGACCGTCGCGACGGCGCGGTCCTCGCCGCCGTCCCACGTCGCGTCGAACGTCGCGCCGCCCGTCGCGTCCGTCAGGTCCACGAAGAAGGTCTCGCTGTGGGCCTCGACCTCGGCGTCGTCGACGATCTCCACGTCGAGGCGCTTCGCGACCTCGCCGTCCGCGAACTCGAGCGCGCCCGACGCGGCGACGTAGTCGCCGCCCGCGCACGCGCTGCCGTCGCGCGTCGCGTACTTGCAGGCCACGGCCCCGACGCAGCCCTGGGTGCGGACGACGACCAAAGCCTGGCTCAGGTCGCTCTCCCAGCACTCGTAGCCGTCCTCGTCGCCGTCGTCGCGGTGGAAGTCGAGCACGCCCGGCCCGCTCCGCGCGTCGGCCGCGGCCGGCAGCTCGCGGCGGAGCCGCTCCAGCGTCTCCTCGACGCGGGCGTTGCGGCGCTCCTTGCGGTCGTAGCGGTGCTCCATGAGCGCCTGGAGCGACCGGGTCTTGGCCTCGGGCCGCTCGCGCGCCTCGAGGTCGTCGTCCGCGAGCGGCGCGACCTTGGCCGGCGACGACGTCGCCGAGGCCTTGAGGGCCGCGTCCTCGACGGCGTGGACGCCGTTGGCCCCCTCGAGGAACCCCGGCAGGTGGAAGTCGCGCGCGAGGAGCGACGCGCGCTTCGGCGCGGTCCGCTTGTAGACCTTGGACGCCGCGACGCGGTAGTAGGCCTTGGACTTGGGCTGCGGCGGCCCGCCGAGGCCGCCCTGGAGCTTGCTGAGGAAGCCGTCGTCGACGACGGACCCCCGCCGGCCCTCCTTGGGACTCGCCGCGTTCTTCTCGTAGAGCTCGCGCTCGAGCGCGGCCATCTGCCGCGCGACGTCCGCCGCGGACGCGCCGCCGTCGTCGGCGAGCACGGTGCGCGCGCCGAAGGCGCCCCGGTCCGCGGCGTAGGCCAGGGACACGAGGAGCCTCCCAGACGTCGCAGTAGTCCGGCGTGTTCACCACCAGGATGAACAAAAGCCAGAGGTACGCGAAGACGGAGAAGACGGCCGTGACCTGGAAGACCTCGAAGTCGTTGATGCGCCGCGACTCGCCATCGGGGATCGCCGCGACGCAGACCGCGAGGATGATCATCAAGTTGAACGCCGCGGAGCCGACGATCGTCGACGGCCCCAGGTCGCCCGAGTAGAAGTCGTTGCCGACGATCTCGATGATGGACAGCAGGATCTCCGGCGCCGAGGACCCGAGGGCCATCAGCGTGAGGTTGGCGATGGTCGCGTTCCAGACGCGCACGTGGAAGGTCCGCTTCACGGTCCGCCCGTTGACCATAACGTCGCGCGTGACGGTCTTCTCGTCGGACGTGATGCGCTCGATGGCGGCCATGAAGACGTCGCTCACGATGGCGACGCCGAGGAAGCAGTAGACGAGCGCCAGGAGCCAGACGACGGCGCCGCCGCCGCCCTCGTGGAAGCGCTTGCCGCCGGACCCGGAGACGCTGATGGCCACCTGGTCGATGGCCCAGGACGTCGGCCGCGGCGTCGGGCAGCCCACCTCCGTGCCGTTGTCGTCGTCGGCCATCGTACCGCGGCGGCGCGGGCGCGAGAAACGTCCTAGGCCGCCGCCGCCATGCGTCGACGTCGAGCTGCGAAACGAGAGGGCAGCCCAATCCCTGAAACCGAGACAGCCGAAACTCTGCAGTCAACGTGCGTGCGCCTTCCCATCATCATCAACGAGTTGAGGCCTTGTTGCCGTGCAACAAAAAGCTCGGCGCCATATCAGCGCTTCATGCAATTTGGACATCTTTGTAATTTGGACCACTTTTCTCGGACAGACGCACCGCCCGGGCGGGCAGCCCTCAGCCGGCGTCGTCGCGTTCAAACGATGCCTCCCAAGCGCCTGGGAGGCGACACCGCTATGCATGGGCGCGTCGGCGGGCTCGTGCGCGGCAAAAAACTTCGCAAGGGCGCCTGCGACCTTCTGGGCCGCGTCAAAAATGTCGGACCCTTCCGCGAGCTGGATAACACGATGCAGATCCGCCTCGAGAAGCCGAAGGCCTCGCGCTCCAAGAAGGCGGTGAAGCGCGGCCGCGCGGGCGCGGACAAGGACGTCACGCAGGCAGCGATCCAGACGATGCTCGCGACCAAGGACGCCCAGCGCGCGCGCGCGCTGGCGCCCGCTCCGAAGAGTCCGACGAAGAGCCCCATGAAGAAGAAGCCGCGGTCGATCACGGCCGGCCCGGCGGCCGCGCTCGGGACCGCGGCGCGCGGCGCCAAGCTCGTCGTCGAGGCCCGCGGGGCCTACAACGCGACGTCGAAGCGCTACGACTTCGACGGGGAGCTGGGCGCGCCGCACTCCATCTGCGAGGTCGGCCAGCTCATCCACGACGGCAAACTGAAGATCTCGAAGCTCCAGAAGGACAAGTCCTACGGCATCCCCTACGCCACGATGGCGCGGTGGGCCATGGACGACAAGAAGTGGCGCGAGAAGCAGAACCTCAGTGGCGGCGTCGAGGGCAAGCCGCGCTGGTACGTCGAGAAGCACTCGCGCGGGCGCAAGACGCTCGACAGCGCGGGCGCGCCGACGCTCCTCGCGAAGCCGGCGCGCGCGGCCATCGTGCACGCCGTCTGCGACGCGAAGCGCAACGGCTGCCCCTTCCAGCCCAAGGAGGTGAAGGCGATCATCCGCGAGGCGTGCATCGCTACCGGCAAGATCAACCCGTCGACCAAGGAGCGGTACTACGAGACGACGCGCGTCGACGGCCAGCTCAACAGCATCTGCGGCGCCGCCAAGCGCGACTACGACGTGACCCTCGAGAACCAGAAGGGCCAGGGCCACGCGCGCGAGCGCGTCGACGCGTGCGACTACGAGGCCTTGACGAAGAACGTGGAATTGGTCGCGCCCTTGCTCCGCGCGTTCCAGGAGCAGTACGGCAAGATCCCCCTGGACAACGTCGGCAACTACGACGAGACATTCCTGGACCTCTGCGCCTACGCGAGCACCGGCGCCTACCTCGTGCCGAGCGACGACGTCGCGGTGCAAGTGCTGATTCCCTTCGAGAAGAGCCCGCACATCACGCTCCTCATCTTCACGCTCGGGGGCAAGCTGCTGCGGATCCTCGTGGGCATCATCGGCACCACGGACATCGCGCCGCACCCCTTCCACCTCTCGTTGGTGAAGGACAAGACGCGCATTGGACTTTTCCAGACGGACAACGGCTGGATCACGCACCGCACGAAGTACGAGGGCTTGAAGGTCTACTTCGCCGACGACAACGTCCTGGGCAACTCCCCGTGCTGCCTGAACTTCGACGGCCACAAGTCCAACACGGACAAGGTCCCGGGCACGCTCGAGGACGAGGCCGTGCCCATATTGCTCCGCGAGAACCAGACCTTCGGGCACACGCCCCTGGCCCACTCGACCGCTATCGGGACCCAGCAGGCGGATTTGCCGCAGGGCATCATCCAGCGCGCCAAGGCCAAATTCGCTGACCTGATGCGCTCCCAGGTCCGCGGCTCCCTGAAGAAGCGCGGGAAGTACAAGGGCCGCGTCTCGACGGCGACTGTCCTCCGGCTCATCGAGCAGGCCTTCTTCGAGTCGGGCGTCGACGACCCGGCGAAGATCATGGACGACCACAAGCGCGTCGGCTACTGGGTCGAGGAGGGCTGGCTCATGTGGGACCCGCGGCAGACCATGAACCGCGCGAAGCTCGACTTCGGGAACGCGCTCGGCAAGGGCGACGCCGCGGAGGCCGACGCGGGCGAGCGCTCCGCGGGCGCGCAGAACCTGGACCGGGCCATGGAGATGGCGCGCGCCGACGTCGAAGCCGTCGGCGGCGCCGTGCACAAGGCGTACACGCCGCCCGTCGACTTGGACGAGGCCGCGGCGGTCCACGTCCCGCGGCGTACGCGCGAAGACCGTGCGCAATACGGACTGGTGGTCACGGACGACGACTACGTCAAGGCCATCTCCTCAGAGGGCGCGCGCGCCCTCGCGGAGCGCGCCGCGGAGGCGGCGAAGGCCTCCAAGGTGAGCGAGCGCTGGGAGAAGCGCCGCGCCGAGATCCGGGCCGTCGAGAAGCAGGTCGCCGACGGGGCGCCGCTCGAGAACCTGAAGGTGGGCCAGCTCAAGTCGCTGATCTACGGGCGCACGGGGAGCGGGGCGAAGGCGTCGAACAACAAGGAGGGCGCCATGCTCGCGGAGGCGCGCGTCGCGCTCGGCCGCGATCTGATGCTCCCGCCGACTCCGACGCGACGCGGGGCCGAGGATTCGGCCGACGCTGCTGGCGACGGCTCCGACGGCGAGCTCGAGGACGGCGCCGACGACCCATGACTCCGCGATGCCCGCCAGGCCGCGGCTACCGACGAGTGCGGGCCCGCGGAGGCCGATCCCGCTGGGGTGGTCCAAATTACAAGCTCCTCGAAACCCATGGTTTCGGTAGGACCACAGGACGACTTCCGGGGCGCACCCGCCTGCGAGCTTCGGTGTCCTCCCAGATGCGAGGGGTCCCTCGGGGATGGTGGCTCGGCGGCTCCTGTGGTTTTGTTCTTCAGCTCCGCTAGGTTGCCCCTAAAGTTGATGTTTTCTTGGTCCAAATTGCACGAAGCGCGGATACAAGTACAGGGGCTCGTAGTGCGACGCCTGCGCCCGCTCTCGCGCGACGCCCGCGCCCGCTCTCCCCTGCCGCGATGAGCGCCCTGGCGTCCTCTCGCGGCCGCGAGGGCGGGCTCCGGGAGCTCGTGCGGTCCATCGTCCAGCGCGACATCCTGCGGTCCTGCGCGGGCAAGTGCCGCGGGTGGATGGTGCTCGTCTTAGACGAGCAGGCGAGCCGCGTGCTCACGCCCGTGCTCGGCATGTACGACCTCATGGAGGAGCGCGTGACCCTCGTGGAATCGCTCGAGAAGCGGCGCCAGCCCTTCCCCGAGATGGACTGCATCTACGTGTCCGCGGCGACGGACCGGTCCGTGCGGGCGATTTGCGCGGACTGGAAGGGCCGCGCGGACGCGCCCTACGCCGAGGCCCACGTCTTCTTCCTGAGCCGCCTCGACGACCAGCAGCTCGCCATGGTCGGCGCGACGTCCGAGCTCGCGGCCCGCTTGAAGACGCTCTCGGAGCTCAGCCTCGACTTCCTCGCGCTCGAGAGCCAGGCCTTCGACCTGGGCGCCCCCGGGTCCTTCGCGCTCGGCGGCGCGCCCGGCGTCCCCGAGGCCGCGGCGGCGAAGAAGCTCGCCACGGTGCTCGCGACGCTCGGCGAGGGCCGGCCCTGCGTGCGCTACCGCGCGGGCAACGCGCGCGCGCGCGCGTTCGGCGACGCGGTCCTCGGCGAGCTCCGGGCCCTCGACCTCGACGATTCGACCAAGGACGCGGCGACGGTGCTCGTGCTCGACCGCCTCGACGACGCGCTCACGCCCCTCGTCCACGAGTACTCGTACCAGGCGCTGCTCCAGGACGTGCTCGACGTCGAGGGCGACTGCCGCGACCGCGTGTCCTACAGCAAGCAGACCAAGGGCGGCGAGGCCCGCGACTTCGCCATGCTCAACGAGAAGGACGCGCTCTGGGTCGAGATGCGCCACGAGCACGTCGCGCGCGTCGTCAACCAGCTCCGCGCGCGGACGTCCGACTTCCTCGACCACAACCGGGGCGCGGCCCAGCTCCACCAGGGCAAGGGCTCCGAGCTCACGCTCGGCGACATGGCCAATGCGCTCCAGGCCATGCCCGAGTTCCAGGCGGCGACGGCGGCTTTAAACAAGCACATGTCCGTCGCGCACGAGGCCCTGGGCAAGTTCCACGGCGCGGGGCTGCTCGAGCTCTCGAACCTCGAGCAGTCGCTCGCGACGGGCCGCGACGAGGCGGATCAAACGGTAAGACCCAAGGACGTCTTCGACGAGGTCTGCGACGAGTTGAGGAAGCACGCGAAGAAGCCGTCGGCGGGCCACGCGCTCCGGCTCTTGGCGTGCTACGTCGTCGCGCGGGCCGGCCGGCCCGCGGCGTCCGAGCGCGAGGCGCTCCTCGGCGCGCTGGGCGCCGACGCGGCCCAGCAGCGCGCCCTCGTGGCGCTCGCGCAGCACGTCGCGGCGGCGGGGCGGCCCACGGCCGACGACGCCGCGGCGCTCGGCGCGTCCGCGAAGGCGCGCGAGAAGTCCGAGCGCCGGAAGAAGACGAGCAACCTCGCGCGGCTCCGCGGGGCCATGAAGCTCACCTTCGCCGCGAAGAAGGGCGACGAGCCCGACGACGACGTCGCCGACAGCCGCTACGCGCCGCCGGCCAAGGCGCTACTCGCCGCGCTCGCGGACGGGTCGCTCGACGGCGACCTCTACCCGGCGCTCGGCGGCGGCGCCGCGGGCAAGCCCGCCAAGGCCGCGCCCGTCTCCGTGCGCAAGAACGCGAGCCGCCTCGCCGGCGCCAAGAAGAAGGAGGCGTCGTCGTCCTCGGCGGCGTCACCTACAGCGAGCTCCGGTCCGCGTACGAGGTCTCCCGCGAGAAGCGCAAGGAGGTCATCATCGGGGGCACGCAGCTCCTCACGCCCGACATGTTCCTCGCCCAGCTCGCGGACTCGAAGAAGTGAGGGGGGGGGGGCGGCGCGTAAACCCCGGACGCCCAGCCCGCGGACTCGAAGGCGCGCGCGTAGACCCTTACGCCGGCGCCATGGCGCACCGGAAGATCGCGACGCGCGCGCCCCCGGCGCCGCGCGCCGTCGGGAGCGCGTCGTCGCCGTCGTCGAGGCCGACGCCGCCCTTGGCCGCCTCCCAGGCTCTGAGCTGGTGGAGGAACCTACCAAGCATGACGGTGACGATTTCTCATTGGTTTCCCACCCCAAATCTCTCGAAACTCGTCGCGGCCACAGGACGCTGGGAGGAACCCCGCGTTGGGCCGCGCCTGGGGCCGCGCGCCCTTGACCAATCTCATGGCCGCGGCCGAATTGAGCCGGCCCTTCCACATGACGTAGGCGCACGTCGCCGCGCACGCGCGCGAGATGCCCGCGCCGCAGTGGATATACACTCTCTCCCCCGCCGCCCGGCCGCGCTCGACGAAGCGGACGATGGCCGGGAACGCCGCGCAGAGGAGCGCGCGGGGGTCGTCGCGGACGACGACGTGGAGGTGGTCCGTGACGAAGGCGCCGAGCTTGCGCGGCTCGTCGGCCGTGACGAGGGACACGACCCGCGCGATCTTCTTGGCCCTGAGCGCCGCGCAGTCGTCGTTGAGCGCCGCCCAGCCGCCGCAGTAGAGGCCGTCGAGCACCTGGTGGAGCAGCGCGTGCCGCGGCGGCGACTCGCGCCGGAGCTTGAGCCGCATGGCGCCGTCGAGGCCGCAGGCCCGCAGCGCGTCGGCGGCGTCCTTGCGCGCGGCGTCGACGGCGTCGGCCTCGTCCGGGTCGAGGCCGTTGCCCGCGGCCGCGGCGGCGCTGTTCGTCGCGCGCTCCCGGAGCGCGTCGACGGCGCGGCGCGCGTCCGCGAGGCCCCGGCCCGACGCGGCGCCGTCCAACACCTCGTCCGCGGCGAAGACGAAGTGGATGTAGCGCTGCGCGCTGCGCCGCGTCCGCTCGTTCTCCTTGGACGCCGCGTAGTCCGCCCTTTCAGCGGGCGCGCGGGCGACGGCCACGGCCGCGGACCCCGCGAGCTTCGCGACCCACGCGTCGACGAAGGACCGGACGCGCGGTCCTCGGCCGTCGAACTGGTGGTCCGCGCCGGGTACGATCTCGAGGTCCACGCGGCCCCCGCGGCCCCGCGCGCCGCCGCCGCGGAGGCCGCACCGCGCCGCGAGGTCCTCGGCGCACCGCGGCTTGAGGACCGCGTCCGCGGCGCCGTGGAGGATGGCGACGCGCGCTGCGCCGTCGTCGACGAGCGCGCGGAGGGCCGACGTCGGCGGCACGCCCTTGGTCTGCGACGCGAGCGCGCAGACGCCGCGGACGACCTTGGACCGCTGGGCCGCGCACTGGAACGCGACGGCGCCGCCCTGGCTGTGGCCTACGAAGCACGACGGTCACGATTGTTTTCCCGGCCGAAATCTCTCGAACGTCGTCGCGGCCGCGGGACGCTGGCTGTGGCCGACGACGCCGACGCGGGCCGCGCCGCTAGCCGCGAGGAAGTCGACGGCGGCGATGGCGTCGGCGATGTTCGCCGCGAACTGCGACGCGCCGGCCTTGCGGTACTCGAGCTGCGCGACGGCGACGCCGGGCCACGCGAGGCCGTCGTAGAGGCCGGCCGCGTCCGGGCCGCCGACGAGGGGGCCGCGCGTGCCGCCCTTGATGCCGCAGAGCGTGAGGATGGTGAGCGGCGCGGCTTCGACGCTGCCGCTGATGACGGCGCGGCACGCGGCGGTCTCGCTCACGGGGATGGACACGACGCGCACGCCGTCGTCCTGCGCCGTCTCGTCGACGGCGTCGTCCTGCTTGGTCTCGTCGACGGGGCGCGGCATGGCGGCGGGCTGCTTGGTCTCGTCGACGAGGCGAGGCATGGCGTTGGGCTGCCCTTGCTAACCGAACATCGGCCGTGTGCAACGAGGGCAACACCGGCGCGGCGCCGTGAAGATCACACCTTGGCGCGATCCTCGAGTTGTGGACGCAATCAAGCGCCGCAAACGCTGTCCATCGCCCCGGCAAAACCATGCCTCGCCTTGTGTTCGCCGCCCTCATCGCCGCCGCGCGCGCCTTCGTCGCGCCCGTGGCCCCCGCGGCGGCCCCGACGGCGCTGCGGTCCACGGAGGTGGGCGTGGGCCCCGAGACGGGCGGCGCCCTCTTCGACCCCGCGGGCTTCACGAAGATCGCGTCGCCGACGACGATGAAGTGGTTCCGCGCGTCGGAGCTCAAGCACGGCCGCGTGGCCATGCTCGCGAACGTGGGCTGGGTCGTCCAGGCGAGCGGCTACGGCACGATCAAGTTCCCGCTCGAGGGCGGCCTCGCGCCGCTCTCCAAGGTGCCCCTCGAGGCCAACGCCCAGCTCTGGAACCTCGCGTCGGGCGCGGGCTTCCTCCAGATCATCGCGACGGCGGGCATGATCGAGCTCATCACCGAGTCGGCGGTCCAGCCGCACTACATGGCGCCGGGCGGCAACGGCTACATCGACATCTTCGGCTACTCCAAGAGCGGCGAGGACTTCACGGACCTCCAGAACCAGGAGCTCAAGAACGGCCGCCTGGCCATGATCGGCATCGCGGGCTTCGTCTGCTCCGCGCTCGTGCCGGGCTCCGTGCCGGGCAGCCCGTGGTAGGTTCGCGCTGGCGCCGTGAGGGATGTAAAAAAATTGACGCGGTGGCGCGGCCACAGGGGGGGCATATCCGGCCCGGGACGCGCGCGCCTACTGGTGGAACTTCTCGAGCACGTCCGCGAAGATGGTCCGGATGACCTTCGCGGAGGCCGCGTCGTGCTTGATGAACTCGAGGAGCGCGGCCTGGTCCCAGCAGAAGACGTGGGACTCGCCGTCGGACCGGCACGTCGCGCTCGCGAGCGGCGGCGCGGCGGCCGCGGCGGTCGCGTCCTTTTGGTAGTCCGCGTAGACCTACCAAAATTCCCGGTCAAAATCTCTCAAAGTTCGTCACGGCCGCGGGACGCTGGCGTAGACCTTCAGCAGCGACACCTCGCCGACGTACTTGCCCTCGCCGAGGGCGACGTCGCCGTCCCTCGCGTGCGCGACGACGTTGCCTCGGACGACGACGCTCACCTTCTCGACCCGCTCGCCCGCGCGCGTGAGCTCCTCCTTGTCTTTCAGCGTCTTCCACTCGCCGATCTTCAGCAGCGCCTGGAACTCCTCGACCTCGAGGTCGTGGCGCTGGAAGACCATGCCGTAGAGGCGGAGCTCGTCCTTCGTCAGCGCGACCTTGTCCTGGCGCAAGATGTTGTAGATCATGTAGGCGTGGATCGACGCGAAGGTGCCCTCCCAGAGCGCGGGCACCCAGAGCTTCTGGGGCTGCACGAGGGCGTAGACCACGAAGGACGACGAGCCCCCGACGAGGAACGACCGCATCAAGAGCGGCTCCGTCATCAAGAAGCCGCCGAGCTGCAGCACGTAGGAGAAGTTGCCAAGCAGCATCTGGCCCTTGGGCGTCTGGTACCTGCGGCGGCGCGCCTCCACGAGGCCGTCGACGCCGCGACGCACCAGGGCAGCCCGGCGTCCGCGGCCGCCTCGGCGGTGCTGCCGCTCCGCTGGCGCAGCAGCTGCCTCGCGTTGATTTTCTTGGGCTTCTTCGCGCGCAGCGTGTGCAACGCGGCACCGGAGCGACGCATTGCATGGAGCACGGGCGGCCGCGCCGCGATGCGTGCGACGCCAATCATTGCTCAGTGTTTCTGAGGAGCATTTTCTTCGGGGGTAACCATCGTGGAACTTGAAGGGGCTGCAAAGGGAGCAGCATGGGCTAAAGCGGCATGTGAGACCCATGGTGGCCCTTCGTGTGATGCGATTGACCGTCCTGGCGGCGCGCGCGCTCGCGGACGCGCAGGAGATCGCGGCGCAGGGTCCCCACGACAGCGGCGAGTTCCTCGGGAAGCAGCGGAGCGGCTGCGGCAATAGCTGCTACTACTCGGTCAGCATCTGGCTCGCGTTCCTGGGCTTCTGGGCCGTGTTCTGGTACTGCGTGGTCCGGAGCCTCTTCGGCCCCGACGCGGAGAAGAAGGACGCCGCCAAAGATTGAGCGGCCCGGCGCGCGCCTTCGCCGGCCGCGCGCGCGCCCGCGGGACGACCGGCGCCCGCGCGCCACCCAGCGAACACGCGGACGACTGGCGCCCGCGCGCCGCCCGAAGAACCGCGCATCGAGGGTCGGTTCAACATAATTCTTACTAAGGGGTCTGTGAATTGGGTCCCAGGGGCAAGCCCCGGTTCCGTTTTGTCGGTTCGGCCGTCGGGGACGGCTGCCGCTCATTTCTTTTTGTCGGACGCGGCGTCGGCGCCGGCGTTTCGCCGCCGCCGTCGTCGTCGTCCGTCTTGCGTTCGTTTCTTTTCGTGGGCCGCGGCGTCGGGTAGGGCGAGTACGTGGGCTCCGCCGTCGGGTCCGTGGGCTTGCGCTCGCTGCGCTTCGTGGGCTGCGGCGCGGCGACGTAGGCCGTCGGCGCCGGCGACGGCCACTTGCGCTCGCTGCGCTTCGTCGGCTCCGGCGCGGGCGCGGCCGTCGGGTCCGTGGGCTTGCGCTCGCTGCGCTTCGTCGGCCGCGGCGTCGGGTACGGCGAGCGCGTGGGCTCCGCGGTCGGGTCCGTGGGCTTGCGCTCGCTGCGCTTCGTGGGCTGGGGCGCGGCGACGTAGGCCGTCGGCGCCGGCGACGGCCACTTGCGCTCGCTGCGCTTCGTCGGCCGCGGCGTCGGCGCGTCGGACGCGACGGGCGCCGCCACCGGCTTCGCCGTCGGCGCGAGCACCGTGCCGTAGACCTCCAGGTCCGCCCAGTAGTGGGGCCCGTAGTCGCTCGGCTCGTCGGCGATGGCGACGTAGCCCGCGTCGAAGGAGCCGTCGCTCTCCGTGAGGTTCGCCAACACCTCGCCGTCTCGCGCGATCGCGCACCAGAACGTCGACCCGGCCGCGAAGAGCATCATGTCGTAGAAGGCGTCGGGCTCGAAGTCGAAGGACGGCGACTTGCCCAACACGGCCTCCTTGCCGTTGGTCTTCTCCTCCAGCAGCCGCAGCACCGCGGTGTCGTCGTCGGCGTCCGTGACGATCTTGCACTGGTAGCCGTAGAGCACGCTCAGGTCCGTCGTGTTCCCCGCCGGCACGTCCTGCATGCGGAAGAGGATGAAGAAGTCGCGGTAGACCGTCTTCTTCCACGAATCGTAGCCGACCGTGGTCGTCACGAGGAGCGCGTCGTCGGCGTAGACGTCGTCGCTGCCGTAGACGGAGTAGTAGTCCGGCGACGCGGACTTCATGAGGCAGGTCGCGTCCTCCCAGGTCTCGTCCCAGATCATGCGCCCGCTGTAGACCGTCCAGTCGTCGCGGGGCTCCTCGCAGAAGACGACGTCGACGTCGGCGCCCGACGTCGGCGAGAACCCGGTCGGCGCGCGCGTCGTCGGCGCGGCGCTCGGCGCGATGGCCGTGCCCTCGACCATGAGGCGCTCCCAGAAGTGGGCGCCCGCGTCGCCGGGGTCCGCGGCGATGGCGACGTGGCCCCGCGTGAACGACTTGTCGTAGCCCGACACGTTCGCCAGGACGACGTAGTCGTCCATGGTGTGGTCGTCGGCGGCGTCCATGATGGCGCACCAGAAGAGCGGGCCCACGGCGAAGAGGCCCAGGCGGTAGAACTTGTTCGGGTAGAAGTCGAACGACGACGACTTCGCGAGCACGCTCTCGCGGCCGCTGCTCTTCTCCTCCAGCAGCCGCAGCACGGCCGTGTAGCCGTCGGCGTCCGTCGACACCTTGCACTGGTACCCCTCGAGCGCGCCCAGGTCCGTCGTGTTCCCCTCCGGCAGGGCCTGCATGCGGAACAAGACGTAGAAGTCGCGCTCCGCGGTCTCGTCCTCGGCCGCGTAGCCCAGCTGCGTCTCCAGGAGCAGCTTCGAGGCGTCGTATTCGTCCAAACTCCCGTAGACGGCGTAGTAGTCCGACGACGCGCTCTCCAGGAGGCAGGTCTCGTCCTCCCACGCGCTGTCGAAGAGCAGCCGCCCGGACGCGACCGTCCAGTCGTCGAGCGGTCTGTCGCAGAACTCGACGTCGATCCAGCCGGCGTAGGTCGGCGCCTTCGTGGGCTTGCGGGTCGGCCCGGCGCTCGCCCCGGTCGTCGGGACGAGCGTCGGCACGGTCGTCGGGAGCGGCCGCGGCGCGGGGCTCGGCGCGGCCGTCGGCGCGAGCGTCGTGCCCTCGACCATGAGGCGCGACCAGTAGTCGTGGCCGGCGAGGCTCGGGTCCGCGCCGATGGCCACGAAGCCGTCCGTGAAGGACCGGTCGTAGCCCGTCGCGTTCGCGAGGACCTCGTAGTCGTCGCTCAGCCGCCGCCGGCCCGCGTCCATGATCGCGCACCAGAAGATCGGGCCCCGCGCGAAGAGGCCCAGGCGGTAGAAGGTGTCCGGCGCGAAGTCGAAGACCGCGGAGCGGTCGATGACGGCCTCCTTGCCGCTCGACTTCTCCTCGAGCAGCCGCAGCACCGCCGTCCCGCCGTCCTCGTCCGCGGAGATCTTGCACTGGTAGCCCTCGTAGGCGGCCAGGTCCGTCGTGTTCCCCGCCGGCAGGGACTGCATGCGGAACAGGACGTAGAAGTCGCGCTCGCCGCCCGCGTCCGACGACGCGTACGCCAACTCCGTCTCCAAGAGCAGGTAGTCGTCCGTGTAGCGCTCCTCGGACCCGTAGACGTTGTAGTAGTCGCTCGACGCGTCCTCGAGGAGGCAGTCGTCGCCGTCCCAGGCCTCGCCGAAGAGCATGCGGCCGCTGTAGACGCGCCAGTCGTCCAGCGGGTCCTCGCAGAAGTCGACGTCGAAGGCGCCGAGCGCCGTGGGCGACGCGGACAGGGACGGCGCCGGGGACGTCGGCGCCGCCGAGGGCCGCGGCGTCGGGCGGAGCGTCGGCCGCGGCGTCGGCGGCGCCGACGGCGCCGCGGACGGCGCCGCGGACGGCGCCGCGGACGGCGCGGCCGTCGGCGCGGCCGTCGGCGCGGCCGACGGCGCCTCCGTGGGCGCGGGCGTCTCGACGGTGCCCGAGAGCCGGAGCCGGCTCCAGTAGTGGGGCCCGACCTCGCTCGGCGCGGCGCCGACGGCCACGTGGCCCGTCTTGAACGACATGTCGAAGGCCGTCGCGTTGGCCAGCAGGCCGTCGTCGCCGGTGATGGCGCACCAGAAGACGGGGCCCACCGCCACGACGGCCGCCGTGTAGAACGTGTTCGGCGAGAACGCGAACGCGGCCGACCGCGCGAGCACGGCCTCGCGGCCGCTGCTCTTCTCCTCCAAAAGCCGCAGCACGGCCTCGTCGCTGCCCTCCTCCGTAGAGATCTTGCACTGGTAGCCCGTGTAGGCGGCCTTGTTCGTGCTCACGGTCGTGTCTATTCTGAACAACAGCACGAAGTCGCGCGCGAGCGTCTCGCCCTCGGACGCGTAGGCCAGCGTCGTCGACAGCACGAGGCGGTCGTCGGTGTAGACGTCGTCGGAGCCGTAGACGGCGTAGTCCGTCGAGGACGGCGCCGACTTCATGAGGCACGAGTCGCCGTCCCAGGTCTGGTCGAAGAGCATGTTTCCAGAGAAGACGGACCAGTCGTCGAGCGGCCCGCCTTTCTCGCAGAACTCGACGTCGACCCAGCCCTCGATCGTCGGGGCCTTGGTGGGTTTGAGCGTCGGGTGCGTCGGCACGGACGACACGGACGGCGCCGCCGTCGGGTCCGGCGGGTACATCTTGCGGCGGGTCGGCTTCGACGTCGGCTTCGGCGTCGGCGCCCGGGTCTCGGTCGTCGGCGCGAAGGTCGACGACGGCCCCGGCGTCGGGGCATGCGACGGCGTCATGAGCGTGCCGTCGACGGTAATGGCGGACCAGAAGTGGGGGCCCAGGTCGTCGCGGTAGGCGAGGACGCCCGCCTTGCCGTACGCGTACGTCGTCGACGCCGCGGAGACCGTGGCCAACACGGTGCCCAGCGACGCGATCTCGCAATAGAGTTCGGCGCCCGTCGCGCGGAACGTGAACTCGTAGAACGTGTCGACCTGGAACTGGAACTCGTCGGAAGTGCCGAGCGTGAGCGCCTGGTGGTTGCTGCCCGCGTTGTACTCGCGGAGCTTGAGCGTGGTCACGTCGTTGCCGGGGTCCGTGACGATCTTGCAGCCGTAGCCCGCCGTGTCGTCGAAGTAGGTCACGTTCCCCAGCGGCCACTCGCCCACGCGGAGCATGGACACCATGTCGCGCTCGTAGAAGTCGTCCGTCGCGTCGTACGCGAGGTGCGTCGTGAGCTGGAGCCGGTCGTCCGTGTAGTCCGCGGACGAGCCGTAGATGGAGACGTAGTCGTCGGAGTGGCTCTCCATGAGGCAGTCGTGGTCCATGAAGGTGCGGCCGAAGAGCATGCGGCCCGACGGCACGCGCCAGCCGTCCCGGCGCGGGTCGTCGCAGAACGAGATGGTCGTGTGCTCGTGGGCCGTGGGCTTCGGGGTGAGCGTGGGCGCCGCGGTCGGGTGGGAGGAGCTCGGCGACCGGCTCGGCTGCGACGACGTCGGCGACACGCTCGGGCGCGACGACGTCGGCGACACGCTCGGATTCGGAGACGTCGGCGACCGGCTCGGGTGCGACGACGTGGGTGATCGGCTCGGGTTCGGAGACGTCGGCGGCCGGCTCGGGTTCGGAGACGTCGGCGACCGGGTCGGCTGCGACGACGTGGGAGACCGGCTCGGGCGCGACGTCGTAGGAGACCGGCTCGGTTCCGGGGACGTCGGCGCCAGCGACGGCTCCGGCGTCGACACGGTCCCGCTCAGCTCGAGGCGGCTCCAGTAGTGGGGCCCGAGGTCGCTCGGGTCGCTCCCGATGGCCACGTGGCCCGACGCGAACGACCGGTCCGCCGCGGACACGTTCGCCAGGAGGCCGCTGCCGTCGCTCGTGATCGCGCAGGAGAACAGGGGCCCGATGGCGACGACGGCGATGGTGTAGAACGTGTTCGGCAGGAACTCGAAGACCGACGACCGCCCGAGCACCGCCTCCTTGCCGCTCGTCTTCTCCTCCAGCAGCCGCAGCACCGCCGTGTCGCTGGCCGCGTCCGTGGACACCTTGCACTGGTAGCCCGCGTAGGCCGCGTTCGACGTCACGTCGCCGACGGCGTCGTCTATTCTGAACAGCAGCAGGAAGTCGCGCTCGAGCGTCTCGTCCTCGGACGCGTAGCCGAGCGTCGTCGACAGCACGAGGCGGTCGTCCGTGTAGGAGCTGTCGGAGCCGTAGACGGCGTAGTAGTCCGTGGCGTTCGACTTCATGAGGCACGAGTGGCCGTTCCAGGACTCGCCGAAGAGGAACGACCCGGAGTAGATGGACCAGTCGTCGAGCGGGTCCTCGCAGAACTCGACGTCGATCCAGCCGTCCTTCGTCGGCGATTTCGTCGGTTTCACGGTCGGCGCCGACGGCACGGGCGTCGGCACGGAGGTGGGCATGGACGTGGGCACGGGCGACGGCGGCGGCGTCGGGAGCGGGCTCGGCGCGGGCGTCGGCGTGCCCGAGGGCGGCGTCGTCGGGAGCGGGCTCGGCGCCGGCGACGGCTCCACCGTCGGGTAGGGGTAGACCGGCGTCGGGGCGACCGACGGGACGCCCGTCTTGTGGATCGTCGGGTGCTCCGTCGCCGTCGTCGGCGCGAAGGACCGCGACGGCGCCGCCGTCGGCGCCGCGGACGGCGAGATTTCCACGCCGTCGACGTACACGTCGGCCCAGAAGTGGGGCCCGAACTTGGCCCGCGTGCCCATGACGCCGACCTTGCCGTCGGGGTAGGTCGTCGACTCGCCGTAGGCCGTCGCCAGCGCGACGCCGCCGCGCTTGACCGCGCACGCGAACCGCGAGTCCGCCGCGACGAGCAGGACGTCGTAGAACACGCCCGCCTCGAAGTCGAAGCTCGCCGACTCGCCGATGGTCGTCTGCGTGCCGCTGACGCGCTGCTCCCGCAGCCGGAGCACGGCCGTGTCCGAGTCCGGGTCCGCGTCGATCCGGCAGAGGTAGCCCGGGATGTGGTCGACCTCGCTCACGTTGCCCCGGGGCCAGTACTGCACGCGGAACATGGTCGCGAAGTCGCGGAACTGCGTGTCCACCGTCGCGTTGAACGCGACCGTCGTCGCGACGCGCAGTCTGTCGGACGCGTAGCCCTGGCCGCTGCCGTAGATGGACGCGTAGTCCGCGCTGGCGCTCTGCATGAGGCAGCCGTCGCCGAGGAACGTGCGGCCGAAGAGCATGCGGCCCGTGGGCACGTACCAGCCGTCGAGCGGGTTCGATTCGCAGAACGTGACGAGGTCGCCGTCCGCGGCCGTCGGCGCGCGCGTCGGCCTCGCGGGCGACGGCGGCGCCGTCGGCCGCGGCGTCGGCGCGAAGACCGGCGCGGCCGACGGATGTCCAGGGGTCACGGTCGGCGCCGGCGACGGCTCCGGGGTCGGTCGAGGCGTCGGCGCGGACGACGGCGACGGCGTCGGCCGCGGCGTCGGCGCGAAGACCGGCGCGGCCGACGGATGTCCGGGGGTCACCGTCGGCGCCGGCGACGGCTCCGGGGTCGGTCGAAGCGTCGGCGCGGACGACGGCAACGTCGTCGGCCTCGCCGTCGGCCTCGAGGACGGCCGCGGCGTCGTCGGGACGGCCGTCGGCCGGACCGTCGACGGCGCCGGGCTCGGCGCGCGCGTCGGCGGCGCCGACGTCGGCGTCGCCGACGGCGCGTCGACGATCGTGCCGTCGACGCGGATGTCGCTCCAGACGTGGGGGCCGTACTTGCTCCGCGTCGCGGCGACGCCCACGTAGCCCGTCGCGTACTTGTCGTCCGAGCCAGTCGTGTTCGCGAGCACCCGCCCGTCCCGCGAGACGGCGCAGCCGAACTTCTCCTGCTCCGCGACGACGGTCAGATCGTAGTACGTGTCCGCGTAGAACTCGAAGGACGCCGACGACGCGAGCGTCCGCGCGAAGCCGCTGCTCGACTGGCGCCGCAGCCGCAGCACCGTCACGTTCGAGTCCGGGTCCGTGGCGATGATGCAGAAGTACTGCCCCCCCGAGAAGTCGGAGACGTTGGCGGCCGCCGGCCACTGCTGCACGCGAAAGAGCGTCGAGAAGTCGCGGAACTGCGTCAGGACCTTGGCGTGGTAGGCGACGGCCGTGGAAATCACGAGACGCTCGCCGCTGTACTCCTGCGTGGAGCCGTAGACGTTCACGCTGTAGGCGTCGTCGGCCTCCATGACGCAGCTCCGCCCCGCGAAGGTCCGGTTGAAGAGCAACCGGCCGCTCTCGACCTCCCAGTCCTCTATTTGGTCGCAGAACGTGAACGTGTCGCCCCGGTGCGTCGGCAGGGGCGACGGGCCCGTCGGCTGCGCCGTCGACGGCGCGTCCGAGTGGGACGGGATCGCCGTGGGCAGCGGCGACGGCGCGTCCGAGACCGACGGCGCGGGCGACGGCGCGGGCGACGGCGAATGCGACGGCGAGACCGACGGCGCGGGCGACGGCGCGGGCGACGGCTTGACGGACGACGGCTGGTCCGTCGCCGTCGGGATCGCCGTGGGCAGTTGCGTGGGAGACGTCGAGGGCGCGGGCGACGGCGCCGACGTCGGCGTCGGCGTCGGCGCGGGCTCGGGCGCGAGGCTCGGGGGCGACGACGGCGCGGCCGAGGGCGGCGACGACGGCGCCGCCGACGGCGGCGAAGACGGCGCGGCCGACGGCGGCCGCGACGGAGTCGACGTCGGCGGCGCGGACGGCCGCTCCGACGACGGGCGCAGCGACGGGAGCGCGCTGGGGCTCGCCGTCGTCGGCGCGGCGGACGGCGCGTAGGTCGGGCGCGGCGACGCCGTCGGCGCGGACGTCGGCAGGTCCAGGTAGTAGCTCTGGCTGTGCGTCGGGCCCGGCGACGGGAGCTCGGACGGCGCGGCCGTCGTCGGCGCCGCGATCGGGTAGCGCGTCGGCAGGGGCGCCGGCGCGCCGCTCGGGGAAGCCGAGGGACTCGGGGACGGATGGCCCGTCGGCCGCGGCGACGGGCCCGGCGACGGCGGCGTCGTGGGCAGCCCCGACGGCTCCGCCGTCGGGTAGAACGTCGGCGGCCGCGTCGGCGTGAGCGTCGGCGCGTCGTAGAAGGCGCCGCCGGCGAGGCACAGCTCGTCCGTGCAGGGCGGGTGCTCGCAGACGACGGCGTCGTCGAACTCGCCGAGGAGCTTGAAGGTGATGTCGTCCGCGTCGTCGCAGTCGTCCTCGTGGGCGACGGTCAGCACGAAGCAGCCGTCCGCGAGGCACTCCCAGGTCTCGCCGAAGGAGCCGCCGAGGAGGCTGCCGGAGATGACCTTCGCGTCGTCCGTGCGGTTGTAGAGCGCGTAGGCGCAGTCGCCCCAGCCGTCGCCCATCGCGTCGAACTGCTGCACGCGGTAGCGGTACTGGCCCGTCGGGCACGCGATGGACGGCTCGGGAGACGGCGCCGGCGACGGCGCGGCGCTCGGCGAGGCGCTGGGCGCGCCGGACGGCGCCGAGGACGGCGACGACGACGGCGCGGACGTGGGCGCGGGGGACGGGCCGTAGGACGGCGGGCTCGTGGGTGCGGGCGACGGCGCGCCCGACGGCGACGGCGACGGCGCGGCAGAGGGCGCCGCGCTGGGAGAAGGGGACGGCGCCGCGCTCGGACACGGCGCGGGCAGGGGCGTCGGCAGCGATGACGGCGCGGCCGTCGAGGGCAGCGGCGACGGCAGCGTCGACGGCTCGTCCGGCACGTACGTCGGCGCGCGCGACGGCCCGCAGGCCTTGACGAGCGACGGCGCCATGGTCGGCGCGCCGTCGGCCGTGCCGACGACGTGGAGCGACGACCAGTAGTGGGGCCCGGCGTCGTCGCGGTACGTCGCGACGCCGACCTTGCCCGCGGAGTACGTCGACGAGATCGCGGACGCGGACGCGCTCACGCCCAGCGCTTCCTGCGTGATCGTGCAGAAGAGCTCCGTGTCCGACGCGCGCACGTCGACGAGGTAGAAGGTGTCGGAGACGTAGGGGAAGGTCTTCGAAGACGCCAGAGTGGTAAAGGCGTCGCCGTACTCCCGAAGTTCCAGCACCGACGCGTTCGACCCGTCCTGGCTGACGACCTTGCAGCCGTAGCCGCGCGCGTCGGCGAAGTCCGTGGAGTTCTCCTCGGGCCAGTCGGCGATGCGAAAGGCGACGACGCTGTCGCGGTGCGACGTCAGTTCGTCGGACGAGAACGCGATCTCGGCGTGAATATCGAGGTCGTCGTCCGTGTAGTTGTAGTGGGAGCCGTAGATGGTCACGTAGTCCCGGCTCGACGACTTCGCCAAGCAGCGCCGCCCCGCCTCGGCGGCGCCGAAGACCATGCGGCCGGACTGGACGGCCCAGCCCTGGAAGTCGGGCTCGCTGCAGAAGTTCAGCGTCTCGCCCTGCACGGCGCACGTCGGCGCGCTCGTCGGGATCGTCGTCGGCCGGTAGGTGAGCACGGGCGCCTCCGTCGGCGCGCGCGACGGCTTTGGCGTGGGGGCCGTGGGCGCGTGCGTGGGACGGGGAGTCGGGGCGACGTTCGGCCTCGCCGACGGCGCGGGCGAGGGCGAAGCTGTCGGCACGGGAAGCGGTGCCCGCGTCGGCAGCGGCGTCGGCGACCGGCTCGGATGCGACGACGGCGTCCCGCTCGGCGGGGCCGACGGTGGCGTCGTGGGCGCGCCCGTCGGCGCGAGGCTCGGCGACACGGTCGGCGGCTTCGACGGGTGCGGCTGGGGCGCGAGGCTCGGATTCGACGACGGTTGCGCCGTGCTCGGCGTCGGCGTGGGGTAGAAGGTCGGCGGCAGCGTCGGCGCGAGCGTCGGCGCGTCGTAGATGGCCCCGTCGCTCAAGCAAAAGTCCTCGACGCACGGCGGCTGCTCGCAGACGAGCTCGTCGCCCATCTCGCCGATGAGCTCAAAGTAGGTGCCCTTGGGCTCGCAGGCGAGGCCGACCGATAAATTGTAGCAGCCGTTGGGCAGGCAGGCCCAGGTCTTGGCGAGCGCGCCCGACTCGAGGGTTCCGTCGGCGAGCGAAAAGCCCGTCGCGTTCTGCAGTTCGAAGCCGCAGGCGCCCCAGCCGTCGCCTTCGACGGAGCCCAGCACGAAGCGGTAGAGCGAGTCGCCGTCGTCGCAGGAGATGGACGGCTGCGGCGACGGCACGGCGGACGGCGCGGCGGTCGACGGCGCGGGCGTCGGGAACGCCGTGGGGCACGGCGTCGGCGGCTTCGACGGCGACGGCAGGGGCGCCTCCGACGGCGTCGACGACGGAGAAGGCGACGGCGCGCCGCTGGGGTAGGGCGTCGGGTTCACCGAGGGCGCGCTCGACGGACCCGGCGTCGGCGGCGACGTTGGCGCGGCGCTTGGCGCCGGCGAGGGCGCGCTCGACGGCGCATTCGACGGCGTCGACGACGGCGGCTCCGAGGGCGGCGCGCTCGGCGAGAACGTGGGCCCGTAGGTCGGGAAGATGTGGCGGTGGCTCGGCACGGCCGTCGGCAGGCGGTCGCGCTTCGCCTCCGTGATCGGGCAGGCCGTGGGCAGGATCGTCGTCGGGTAGGGCTCCGGCGCCGCCGCGGGCGCCTCCGTCGTCGGCGTCGGGGACGGCGCGTAGGACGGCGCGGACGACGGGTCCGCCGACGTCGGGGCCTCGCTCGGGATCGACGTCGGCCGCGCGGACGACGGATGGAGGGAGGGTGCCCCCGACGGCTCCGACGACGGCCGGGGCTCCGGGAGCAGGCTCGGCGTCTGCGTCGGATACACCGTCGGCGGCAGCGTCGGCGCGAGCGTCGGCGCGTCGTAGAAGGCGCCGCCCGCGGCGCAGAAGTCGTCCTCGCACGGCGGGTCCTCGCACGCGATCTCAGCGCCGACCTCGTCCTCGAGGGCCAGCCAGAGCGCGTCGCCGTCGTCGTTCTTCCCGTAGTCGCAGGACGTCGCCACGAGGAGGTGGAAGCAGCCGTCGGGGAGGCAGACCCAGTCCGTGCCCGCGTAGCCCTTGTCCAGCGTCCCCGCGACGAGCGACGCCCAGGGGTACGTCGCGTTGGCGATCTCGAAGTCGCACCGGCCCCAGCCGTCGCCGAGCGAGTCACGCATCTCGACGCGGTAGACGCTCAACCCCGCCTCGCAGGAGATGGACGGCAGCGACGTCGGCGTCATCGTCGGGTCGCCGGACGGCGCGGACGACGGCGCCGGCGACGGCGCGGACGACGGCGCTTCCGACGGCTCGGCGCTCGGCGTCGCGCTCGGGATCGCCGACGGCAGGCCGCTCGGCGCCGCGGTCGGCGCGCCGGACGGCGCGCCCGACGGCGCGCCCGTCGGCGCGGACGACGGCGCGGGCGACGGCGGCGACGTCGGCGCGAACGTCGGCTTGCCCGACGGCAGGGACGACGGACACGGCGTCGGCGGCAGCGTCGTCGGCTTCCGCGTCGTCGGCGCGTAGGTCGAGGGCCAGCTCGACGGGAGCTGCGACGGCGCGAGCGTCGTCGGCGGGAGGGACGGCCCGCACGCGGGGAACGCGGACGGCGCGGCCGTCGGCGCGCCGAACGTCGTCCCGGACACGTCCAGCGACCCCCAGTAGTGGGGCCCCGGCGGCGCGCCGATGCCCACGGTGCCGTTCGCGTAGGTCTGCGAGATCGTGTCGATGGACGCGAGCTCCGCGCCCGCGGGCAGCCGCGCCGTGCAGAAGAGCTCCGTGCCGACGGCGCGCGCCTCGAGCTCGTAGAAGAGGCCGACGACGTCGTAGACGAAGGGCACGGACTTGGCGAGGTCCGCCGACGTGCCGTTGGCCCACTCGCGGAGGAAGAGGCGCGTGACGCCGCCGTCGGTGACCGTCTCGCACGTGTAGCCCGCGTGCACGCTCCTGACGACCGCCTCGTCCGGCCAGGACTGCACGCGGAACGCCACGAAGGTGTCGCGCATCGTCAGGTTCGCGAAGGCGACGGACGTCTCGACCCAGAGGTCCGTGCCGTCGTAGGCGTTCAGCGAGCCGTAGACGGAGAGCGACGCGCGCGCCTTCGACTCCGCGAGGCAGTCGCGCCGCGCGTAGTGCGTGCCGAAGACGACGTCGCCGGCGACGACGGCCCAGCCGGGCACGCGCGGGTCGCGGCAGAACGTGAAGGCGTCGCCGCCGCCGACGAAGCACGTCGGCGCGCTCGAGGGCGGCGACGACGTCGGCGCGTGGCTCGCCGTCGGCGCCGCCGTCGACGGCGCGGGCGACGGCAGCGGCGACGGCGGCACGCTGGGCGTCGACGTCGTCGGCGCCACGGTCGGGATCGCGCTCGGGTGCCAGTGGTGCGTCGGGGAAAAGGTCGCCGTCGGCGCGGACGTCGTCGGCGCGGACGTCGGCGTCGGCGTCGGCGCGCGGCTCGGCGGCGACGACGGCGGCGACGACGGCGCCGGCGAGGGCTGGGCGCTCGGCAGCATGGTCGGCGCGGGCGACGGGAGCGCCGACGGCAGGGGCGTCGGCATCGTCGTCGGCACGTCCGTCGGCACGGGGCTCGGCCGGTAGTAGTGGAGCGTCGGGTGGGACGTCGGGACGAGGGACGGCCGGGGCAGCGGCATGGGCGTCGGCAGCGGCGACGGCATGGACGACGGCGCCGACGAGGGCCAGGGGCTCGGCAGCGACGACGGCCGGCCCGACGGCCCGGGCGACGGCGCGGCCGTCGGCGCGAACGTCGGCGGCACGGACGGCCCCGGCGTCGGGTAGGACGTCGGCGTCCCGGAGGGCTCCGGCGTCGGCATGCCCGTGGGCGCGCACTCGTAGCCCGCCGTGCCGTCGCAGAGGCCGCAGCCCTCCATGCGCGCCCAGCAGATCGTCGTCGGCGCGTACGTCGGCGACGCCGAGGGGACGACCGAGGGCAGGTAGGACGGCGCGCTCGAGGGCGCGTAGGACGGCGCCGTCGTCGGGTGGAACGACGGGTGCACAGTGGGCGCGTAGGTCGGGCGCAGCGACGGCGGCGCCGTCGGCGCGGCGCTCGGCGTCGACTCGGACAGGACCGCGACGAAGCGCGCGTCCTCGACGAGGGAGATGAAGTTCTTCGGCAGGCGCGTCGTGTCCGTCGTCGAGAAGTAGACGCCGCTCTCCGTCGCCGTCGCGCCGCGGTAGACGCCCGTCATGTCCGTGAAGAAGATGAGCCCCTGCTCGCCGTCGACGGCGACGCCCATGGGCTTGTCCAGGTCGTCGTAGAGCTTCTCGATCTTCATGGAGTCGAAGAGCGAGTTGCCGTAGATGGCGTCGTGGGCCACGAAGTACAGGATCCGGTTGACGGCGTCGATGTCGATGCCCTTGAAGCCGAAGAGCTTCTCCGAGACGGCGACGACCTTGACGACCTCCGTCGCGTACTCGTCCATCTTGTAGATGCCGTCGGCGTCCGACACGTAGATGTGCCCCGCGCGCTCGTCGACGGCGACGTCCACGGGGTCGCGGAAGCGGCGCAGCTCGACGTAGGTGCCGTTGCCTCTGACCGTCGCGGACTTTGGCACGTCGTCCATCGTGCGCCCGTAGACGTGGAGCTGCGCCGCGTAGAGCCAGCCCGTCTTGTAGTCGACCCAGAACAGCAGGTTCATCCAGTTGTACACGGCGAGCCCCTCCATCTGCGTGTCCGTGACGTTCTCGTAGCAGACGAGTAACCCCGGGTCGTAGCCCTCTTTGTGGACCTTGCCGATGCAGCCGTCGACGGTGAAGTAGACCACGGACCCGTTGAGGTCGACGTCGACGCCGCGGGCGTAGCCGTAGGTGTCGACGAGCACGGACGCGTGCACGTCCTCCCACTCGTTGGACGTCGTCCAGACGTACGACTCCTTGATCGCGTTGAACCGGGGGATGGCGCCGTCGGTCCAGTAGAGGTCCCAGTACCGCGTCTCCGTCGGCGCCGCCGTCGGCGTCGCCGTGCCGTAGTTCGACCAGACCTCCTCGAGGTCCTCGGCGCACTTTTCGCACTTGGAGCACGAGTCGGAGACGACGGCGCCCTTCACGCGCGACGCGCCCTTGGTCTCGATGGCGTGGCCCACGCGGTAGGCCAGCGCCACCGTGCCGATCGTCGCCGACTTGCCGCCCTGGTAGATGGCCTTGCGGATGGGCTTGGGCGTCACGCCGATGAGGGCGACGACGACCCAAAAGGTCGTGAGCCGCGCCGTGCGCGCGCGGCTCGGCGCCTGGCCCGGCGCCTGGCCCGGGCCCGCCGGGATGGGCTCGTAGGCGTGCGTCGCCATGGAGCTAGCGCTTCCGTCGCTTGCGACACGGGCAGCGGCAGGCCCGCCGGGGCGATGCCGTGCCTCCCACCATCGTGGTCACGCAAAAGCGACGTCCACTTCGACTTCACTAAAAAAGATTCCTTGAACAGTGTGTTGCCGCTCGGAAAGCGGGCTGGCCGCGTCCGAGGAGTGACCATGGCGTCGGCCCAGCGCGACACGCCGAAGCGGAAGCTCGACCCCCTGAACCTGCCCAAGGAGTCCGTGGAGCCCCTCGTGAACCTGCTCAACTACAAGCAGGGCTCGGCCATCATGAAGGAGCGCGCCGTGGAGGTCGTGGGGAACCTGGCCGAGGAGGAGATCCAGGGCCCGGGCCCGACGGCCCTCGTCCAGTGCGACGCCATCCAGTTCATCTGCAACCTCATCAAGGAGGACCGGTCGCCGAAGACGTGAGTCGAGCCCGCCCCGCCGCCGCGCGCGCGCGCTCGAAACCCCAGGCCGCTTAGGTACGAGCAGTGCGCGCGCGCGCTCAAGATCTTCGCCAAGAGCAAGGCCCACGAGGAGTGGTTCACGAAGTCCGACGCCGCCAAGTGGGTCACGAAGATCATCATGGAGGAGGACGCGACGCTGCCGGGGCGCGAGTTCGCCGCCGACTGCCTCTTCCAGCTCATCAAGATGAGCCCCAAGATGAACGAGCAGGTCGCCAAGGCCCTCGGCTGCAAGCCGTCGGAGACCAACGAGAAGGTCGACGAGCTCGACGAGGAGGACGACTGAGCCGCCCCGCCGCGCGCGGCCGGATCGCGGGGCCGTGACACGCCCCGCCCGGCGCGCGCCTCGCCGTAAGCGGGACCATCGCTCGACTTTTAGAAGCCGCTCAGGCGCCGCCTCGCCGTAAGCGGGACCATCGCTCGATTTTAAGACGCGACTCAGGCGTCGCGCGCGCGCTTCGACCCCGGCGCCGCGGCGTCGGGCGTCGCGCGCGCGCGCTTCGCGGGCGGCGCGTCGTCGCCGTCGTCGGCGCCGAGCGCCGCGCGCAGGTTCCGGTTCTCGTCCTCGAGGCGCGCGATGGTCGCGGTCGCCGCGTCGAGCGCCGCCCGGAGCGCGGCGACGCCCGCGCGCGCGCGCGCGGGTGCGGGCGCCGCGGGCGCCGGGTCGCGGCCCAGGAGGAAGGACCGCACGGACGTGACCGCGTCGGGCACGAGGGCCGTCCGCCCGAGGGCCTCGGCCGCGCGCGCGTCGTCGAGCTGGCGGCGGAGCGTGACGTCGCGCTCCGCGTACGCGCGCTGGAGCTGCGTCTGCGCGAACTGGGGCAGGCAGCCCGCGGCGCCCGGGTAGGACGCGCAGGCCGCCTGGACGACGGCGACGGCGTCGACGCCCGCGGCGAACCGCTCGAAGAGGCGCCGGCCCTCGTCGTCGTAGCCGTCGACGGGCCCCTCGGACTCGTCGCCGGACTCGTCGTCGTCCCGGCGGTCGCGGACCCCGAAGACGAAGCAGTGCTCCAGCGCGCGCCCGTCCTTGCGCACCGCGGCCAGGAGCAGCGCCTCGTCCGACCGGAACTCGCGCGGCAGGTGCGCCAGCGCGAGGCCGTTCGCCTCGACGGCGGCGAAGGCGACGGCGCGGTCGACGTCCGCGAGCTCGACGCAGGCCAGGGCCTCGACGTCGTTGCGCACGGCGGCGACGACGACCTCGCGGTCCCGCTTGAGCGCCGCCGACGCGCACTGCAGCGCCTTGCCGCAGTTGGCGCACGCCGCGAGCACGACGTTGCGGTCGCCGTGGAGCGCCTCGGCCGCGTGGCGCAGCGCCCAGCCGCAGCGTTTCACGGCGGCGAGCACGACGCCGCGGTCCGCCTTGAGCGCGTCGGAGGCGTGGGAGAGCGCCTCGCCGTCGCTGGCCTCCTGGGCCACGGCCGCGAGGACGACGTCGCGGTCGCCGCGGAAGGGCTCCGCCGCGAGCGCGAAGACGTCGTCGGGCGCGGGCGACGCGTCGAGCGCCGCGAGCACGACGGCGCGGTCCGCCGTGAACCGGGGGCCCGCGAAGCCCAGGTGCAGGAAGGGCGCGGCCTTGACCGGGTCCGCGGCCCAGTCGAAGAGCGCCGAGAACCGCGACCGCAGGCGCGCGGCGACGCCGGCCACGAGGCCGTCGTGGAGCTCCCGGAGCGCGTCGTTGGTCCAGTAGACGACGGGGCAGCCGTCGTCGCTGGCGTGGGTCCAGCGCGCGCGGTAATTCTGAGAGAAGTGCGAGTAGTCGGAATCCGCGAGGTGCGCGAGGTGGTGCAGCGGCGGCCGCGCTTTCTCCGCGTCGTCGTCGGGGACGGCCGCGTCCTCGTCGTCGTCGTCGTCGTCGTCGTCGTCGTAGAGCTCGGCCCACGTGCGCGGGACCGGAGGCGGCGGCGGCGGCGGCTCCGGGGCCCCCGGCGCTCGCGGGGGCGAGCACTCGGCGCGGCGGACCATGACGCCGTGCTTGGGGTTGCAGACGAAGTAGGTCTCGCCCTTGACCGTGCCGTCGTTGCCCCCTTTCGGCTCGTCGAGCGCGACGCCGATCCACTCGCCCGAGGCGTAGTGGACCTCGCCGACGAACTTGACGACGCCGAGGCCGCCCCGGACGTCGACGCGCGACCCGACGGCCAGGGGGGCTTCTTCAAACCCCATCTCCGCGTCGTCCTCGGCGGCGTCGTCCTCCTCTTCCGCCTCCTCGTCCTCGTCCTCGTCGTCGTCGTCGTCCGAGGACGAGCCGTCGCTCGCCGCGTAGGAGCCGCCGTCGCTCGCGCCGTCGTCGGGCACGTCGACGGGCTCGTCCTCGTCGGGGCGCCACTTGCGCGTGCCGTAGCGCGTGTACGCGTCCGGGTCGTAGGGCGCGGCCCAGTCCGCGCGCTCGATGGCCGGCAGGAGCTCGCGGCAGCGGCGAAAGGCGTGGCGGACGACCCTGGCCGTGACGCAGGCGACGTCGGTCCAGCCGCGGCTCTCCGCGGCCTGTGTGGAAATCAAATCTTCAACCCGACTTCAATGTGCGCGTATTCGAATGTTTTGACACAAGCCCTTCGGCTGGGCTTCGAGAACTCGACGAGAGCGATCGATCCGTCCAAAAATCAGCCGAATCGACTTCGATTTGACCGAGCTAGAGAATTCTCAAGTTTGGCCCCCAAGTTTGGCCCCGACGTCCCAGCTCACTGGTTGATTTCCACACAGTCCGCGGCGGCCTTGGCGGCCGTGACGCCGTGGAGCCGCGCGGCGTCCAGGAGCCAGGAGAGGTACTCCTCCGCGAAGTCGGCGCAGGGCGCCGCGCGGTAGATGTGGCGGTTGCCGACGAAGGACGTCGCGTCGCCCGCGACCAAATCGCCGAAGGTGTCGCGGACGACGGCCTTGACGAGGTCGTCCTCCTCGAACTCGTCCCCGCCCTCCGGGACGACGAGGCGCTCGCGGTGGCGCGCGAGCGACCCGCGGACGTCGTCGTCGCTCCCGTAGCCGCTCGGCGTGTCCGCGGGGTAGCACCACGCGCCCCCGCGCTTCTCCCAGTCGATCGTCTCGCAGGCCTCGCGGAGCGCGCTCGGGTCCCGCGGGGCGGGAGACTTCTTCTTCGCGCGCGTCAGGGCGTTCAAGCGCTCGCGCGTCGCGTAGGCGGCGAGGGGCACGGCGCCGCCGTCCGCGCGGACGGGCCGCAGGGGCAGGCCGGCGTGCTTCGCGGCGCAGTGGCTCCGGAAGGCCCCAAAGGTCGCGAAGAGGCGGCTCGGCTTGCAGAAGCAGCGCGCGCCGTCCTCGAGCTCGAGCGGCTCGGCGGTGACGGCGGGGGAGGCCGCCCCGTCGTCATCAGGCTCGTCTCCCGCGACCTCCATGGCGTTCTCGCGCGCAACAGCGGCTCTTGGAAGCTTCACTCTGTGGCAATTTTGATTGTTGAACATATGAAGCAATACAAATTACGACGCCTCGAGCTTCCTCGCGAGGTCCGCGAAGACGACGGCGAAGCGCGGGTCCGTCGCCGCGTCCAGCGCGACGACGGGCGGCGGCGCGCCGCGGTCGTCGTCTCCCTCGTCGTCGTCGGCGCCGCCGCGCGCTCGGAGCGCGGCGCGGAGCTCGGCGACGACGTCTCGGCCCGCGTCGGCGTCCCGCGCGAGGTCGCCGCCGCCGCCGCGCGGTGGCCGGCGCGGGTCGGGCGCGCGCGCGCCGCGCGCCGCGTAGACCTCGAGCGTCGCCGGGGTCGCGTCGCCGGCGGCGCGCGCGTCGTCCGCGTCGTCCGCGGCGTCCGCGTCGTCGGTCCCGTAGACCGCCGGCTCCTCGGGCGCCGCGGGCGCCGCCCGGACGGGCGCGGGCGCGGGCGCGGGCAAGAAACCGTCGAGCGCGCGCGTCGCCGCGGCCGCGGCGCGCGCCGCGCCCGCGACGTCGGCGCGCTCGCCGTCCTCGACGGCCCGCAGGGCCGCGACGACGAGCTCGAAGCGCTCGCGCACGCGCGCCAGGGGCGTCGGCGCCGCCGCCGCGGGGCGATCCCGCGCGGCCTCGAGCCACGCCGCCGCCGCGTCGACGCCGTCGGCCGCGGCGGCCGCGCCGCCGGCGCCCTCGAGCGCCGCGACGGCCGCGGCGACGACGGCGGCGCTCCAGCGCCGCGCGAGGTCCGCGCCGCG